TGATCGTCCTAACACGAATTCTGATTCCCGTATAGATAGGCCTACGCTGAGCATAAACGTAAGAATGTATCCATTTTGAACATGTAACGTCGAAGAATAAGTAAAAAAAGTTTATACTCTTTTGAAATAAAGCCTAACCTAGCCTTACTTTACATGTGAATTGGTATTGAGTCACAAACACAATACATACCATTTTATCAATACAAATAAAGATATCAAATTTTACTCTGTCCGCATATTTTTAGAAGTTGTATAAGTCAAAATAATATATTTATAACTTTACTATGTAGGTCTATATGTACATGGGTTCGACCATCAACATGCCTGATTTTTAACTTTATTTATTATTATGTATTTATTATTATAAAAGGTCTTATATTTGAAATGGAATTATATCGCCCTGTTTATTTGATATGGCTAAAGTGTCGCTTAAAGATGTTCCTCGTAGTATTGTCTATTGTAAATGTTTGTACTTTCCGCTTGGCTTCATTACGAAAAAACATGTCCTCGCAGAGATAAGTGTTACTTTAGCATTTCACAAACATATGAAGTTTACACCTTATTTGTAGTGTGACAATGTAGATTTTAAGAGCAGTAGAGACTCTAGTCCTGGTTTTAGCGTTGCTATCATTCAAGATACTTGTACGTAACAACTCTAGGTCGAAGACTTAAACGACTGTCCAAGTATATCATATAATAACCTAATCGTACCCATTGTACACGCACCAAAGTCCTCTGTGTGTACAACACTGGTGTTCACTGGTGATCATAATATCAAATATACATCTGTGAAAGGACCAGCCACATTAAATCATACTTAATAAGCCCTAAAGTCAGATTTGAATAGGAAATTTAAGAAATTGTATCATGTATTGATCAGAATGATATCAGAAAGCACTTATATCATTTCTAATAAACGACTCAAGGCGGCTATAAGGTAACTGCCATTCAATGATAGACTTTTAAACTGTTATGTTGATTTTTGTTGGAGTTTATAGTATAATTTTCATACAATGTTCCACGAACTATTATATCTAAAACCGAGATATAATTTTATCATCTGATTATTTATAATATAATGTCATTAGTTCCTGTTCAATTGTTTCAAATTGAAAGTTGAAACGAGTTTCTTCTACAGCTGCCTTTACCTATCTATAAGTTACGTGGTTTGGTTTACCGTGTCGCTAGGTATCACGTTCGAAACCTGAGATGTTGTTGATCATTATTATGTGTCATTTAAGGATCTTGATATCATCTGTTGTCTTCTCGTTAGTACGATATATTATGGTTTAATGTTGTCGTCCTACAAATCTCAACATTAGGTTACGTTGAAGAAAAGCAACGAGAAAATGCCAATGTGTAAACAGAATCATTATTCAAACTCAGATTCAATGAAACACTGGCAAAATGTGAACAATACAGGCAATGCACGAAAGCTTCTAAAAAGGACGCTGTGAATAAAACCAGGTGTTCTAGAACGTCTTCCGTTTTATCGGTGACACCCGCCTTTTAAACCGTGGTCAATTCAAGCAAGGTATGTCACATTACCAAATAGGAACAAGATATACAACAACGGAACCAACAGGCAAACTAACGAGCATCAAACACATCCAGCTTCCTATCGTACAACGGAACCAACAGGCAAACTAACGAGCATCAAACACATCCAGCTTCCTATCCCACAAAGAAATCGGAAATTTATAGCAAACGCGTGTATGTAGGCTTCCAGTTTATAGAGTTGACCTTGTGTAAAGAAAAAAGCACATTGCTAATTTACATGATTTTCTTCAAAGATATGTTTTATGATAATTAAGTTTTTATCGAAAACAACTTATCAAGAGACCATTGGCCAATATCTATTTTATAACTTTAATTAATGGTTGGAGTTATAGACGAAGCTTTGTAATGTGTCTGTTTATCAAAGGAGTATTCATTCAATGTTATTTTCAATACAACAACCTTTGTGTCCATAAAAAAGTCATTATTCATCATGTCATCTTGTGCAAAGTCAGTTAATAACAGGAAAATGATAGGAGGAAATAAAAACAATGTTACGAAAAAGAATGTAAAAAAAAATCAATTAAAGTAGTCGAATTATTTTTTTCCGTGCGCAATAGAGAAGTTTGAACTCACTTTGAAGTCTCCTTTCCCTTTAATGCCATGATAAAACACTAAGAAGGACAAGCAAACAGCTACCCCCTCCCTTTCTTCTCTACCTATCTACTCAGTGATTCGAACGGGGATAAGAAGAAGGTGGTAACAAATACAACAATGCTATCGAGTACTTGGGAAGAGAGAGCCGAATGTCCAGGCCTTTTTCCTCATTGTCAGAGCTGATGTTAAATCACAAATGATCAATCATTTCTGTAAAGCGTTTGAATTGTGTGTCCATATTGACATAACCATATTAACAATGTTTAACGCTCAATTACCTAACGACAAAATCCTAGCGGCTTTATCCCTTTAACAGTCAGTATTTCAGAGAGTGCTATATGGAGTCCGACACGAATATACCGTTGATTTGTCGCGTACAATGACCCGCGTTAAGATGTATTTCAGTCTATTCAACTAGGTTTAACGAATAATTAGAAGCGAAATACAGTAGCAGAGATTGGATTTCAGATCGCAATAAACACAGAAGGCGGTGACACTCGTACGCCATATTGCTGTGATGATGGTCCGCATGTTAATGTTTTTGGTGACAGAGGACCAAGAAATAGAGTTTGTGATCACAGAAGGACCATGTTTATTCAGCTACTAGGAAAAGAGGTTTTAACAGATTTTTAGGAATGATCTACGCAGAGTTCTTTGAAGAAGTTAATGGCAGTGTAACGCCAATTGCTTGGTCCAATGGTTGTCATAAGTGATTCTTGTCAGAGGATGTTAACTTGATCACCGATATGGAAGTACGTGTACATTTGAGAAAACAACAAGGAGATTTGCCATGTATAAGGCGGGGAAGTCGAACCCCAGATTCGCTTATGGACGATCTTTTCCCAATCACATCGTTACCAAAATCAGCGCCTACATGGGGTTTTCGTGACAAGGTGCATTTGTCTCTCACGGCAATGGATATTCTAGGAAACAGATCGGCAAGTGTTTATCTTGAGCACGTTAAGTATTTATGGTTCTATCAAAGACAGCCGATATGATCTGAGATCTGGCTTTTCTTGTATAATTTGTATGTTGATATTTTCCAAATCTTTTGAGGTGGTGATCAATCTTACCGATATGATGGTTGACAAAACAGATAATAATTATTTTAATTGTCGGTGAGATTTCATCGTCAATACATAAACTCGGTGAGATTTTTAGAAAGAAATATTCATCAAGTCCCGGTAAAAAATGAAACTGGTCATCATAAACGGTCGAATGTTACAAAGTAATTAATTCATACCGAACCAACGAGCCAACATATAACGACCTAGTAAAAACTATAAATAGATGTCATTTCTTAAGAATGATACTGATTACCTTTTGTTTCTTGATCCTGAATGTCTTACAGGTAATGGTGTCTTTACATATATGTATATCGATTCACTTGGTCACCAAGGACACTTCCTTTCTCATGACACCACAGGAGTAAATAACTTAATGGAGGACGTAAAATACCACAACTCTATAAGACAGAAAAAAAGAGAAATGTATTAAAACTATATTTAAAGGGAATAATTCGAATGAAAAAATCCATTGTTGGCACAAGGCTATCAAGTGAAAACAGTCTATGGCCACACCTTGTTCTGGTATATAATTACTTGTGAGATTGTGTATCGGGATGCAGGTGCATCTTAAAGGGATTTGGTATCTAAGACTTTAGTCTTTGACATTTATTCCTAGAGTTATACTATTGATGTAGCCAGTTATCAACATTTTAAAATAATATTCGATCCCTTATCATCAACAACAACCATTTAATCAATGAATACAGGAACGGTTGCGGCGTAAACAGATACATGATTTTTAGTTTACGCTCTGACTAGATATTGACCTCATACATTTTAAAGGGAGTCATATCGCCTATAAACACCCATGACATATCGGTAACTGTAGATTTACATTTAAATAGACCAGTGCTCGACAATTCTTTTCATAGCCTCAATCAATATGTTTTGCTGCCAATTTTTGAACATTGTCATTTGATGGCTTCCGAACGCTTTGATTTAATTTGAATACAAAGTTATAATCAAGAATATTTGTATATACTGGTCTCTCGTTTAAACTGCACACTTGAATATTGGTCATGAACATATGAAAGAGTCCTCATGTCTATCGTGAAAATTTGTACCAGTGTCGAAATTTGATCATATTTATACTGGTTGATATCAATCAAGAGCTTCCAGTCTGCTGTCAAATACAGTTGATATATTTAACAGTAAATGTGTTGAAATCCATAATAAAGTGATTAATTGAGTAATTCATGTGTAATTCGAAGATTCTGTTAAATATGAATAAAAGAAGAGAGAAAGAAAGTAATGTTCGCATTTTGAATTAGGTTAAAGGTTTAGCTCTCTTGACTTCTGTTTTACATATAATTACAGAGTTAGCATTACTTCAATAGGATAATATCAATAAGGATGCTTTAAAGACACAATAAATGATCAAAGTCAAAACACACAAACAATTTGGGCATTTCCATGTATATATTTGTATTATTCTATCCTAAAAATTACCATAAAACATTAAAACAATGATAACAATTCTATCGTCACGGAAGGTAATTTTTAACAGTTTCTTCGAAATTGATATTCAAGGAAAAAAGTAAAACAAAACACATGTTAACCTTGTTATGAAGATTCCGTCGAACCCCGTTATCTCGAACTCGGTAGGTCATATTAAAACTTCGAGTACTCTATTTAAGTGAAAATGGTTCAAATTAAATGGAGCGTTCGAGTTATACGAGTTCGAGATAAGGAGATTCGACTGTTTCGTAATAAGATAATCTAATTTGTTGCTATTTCTATCCGATAAGTTAATAGTGATCTTTGGTAATATAATTACAGACGTCACATGTCGCGAATGACGTAAGATCCAGGTATTCGGCTAAGTACAGGAGCACCCCTGACGTGAGACAGAGACTCAGCGCGAACTCACCATTTTTACCAAAGGTTTGTATTTCGTGTCATTATCCGTTGCTAATGAATTTATCCTGATATGTAATCTTATGTAAATTTGTTGGACTCATCGTAAAATCTTCCAACCATTACCTAACTTTCTTTCAGTAATCACACATGATGTTATACGTTTCATTTGCCACAAAAATCTTCCATATATAGAGTTCTACAGATTTCAATAAATCCAGTCTACTTTTTTAAGCATAAACGAAGGTTACGAGCTGTTATTAGTCCTGAATTGATAGGTAACTTATGCCGTGTGAAAGCATTGACTAGTAGCTTGTTTTATTGATTGAGATTTTAATAGGGAAAAAAATCTGTTTCCAGACAGCTACCGAGGACTGCCTGAAGTGTTTACTAAAGGTCCCACACAAAAAGTGTGAATCGGTGAGTTCTGTTATTGTCACGTTCGCATATTCCTGATTATATTGCTTGGTGAAAAGGTAATGATTAGACGTAACTCGCTTTTATTGCACAACAGTCTAAACGCAACCATCTGGAAACGTTTTATATTTCTAAAATCTATCGTTAAAGACTTTATCACCAGCTTCAATGAGCTTCACGATGCACTTTATATATCACAATTTAAAATATTTAATTGTCATAGCTCTTTTTATCACTTAAAGCGTAATTTTTATCTCTAAAGTGAAAAAGGGGTGGGTGGGGGTGGGGATGGGGTGTGTTGTCACTACAAAGAACTATAAAGAGTGAATCATTTTGTGTATCGAATGCATAAGACATACACTTTACTTACAGATGATGATGATTTAAAAGCACTAATGATATACAGACCAATATTGTGAATACAAAAACTGATGTTAAAACATCTTAAAAACTTATAAATTGGATCAGCATTAGATCCAAATTAATGTGATCAAAACTTTAGTATAGAATTTGTTTTTCAAGATAAGCATTTCAGTTCTGTTAGATTATTTGAAAAACGAAATCATAATTCAGAAAGACACATCCGTTGAAGCCGTGTTCTAATCCTACTTTTTCAATCAGTATTTTTTTTTAAATAATCCACAATATCTGAAACGCAATAGAGTGACCATGATGAACGGGGTTGTATTCTATCGGTACATATGTATGTATGTCATAACATAGAGGTAATTAACAACACATTTAAATTTCCAAACTTATTCACGTGCACTATCTTTCACTCCAAAATAAGTTTAAGTAAATATGAAAATTCCACTTAAGCATGGTTAGGAATAACATAAATACACATTACAATCCTTCTGGCTATCACACTTAAATGACATTTTACCTGCAGATGTACAGTTATACTAGTGTTATTGAAAAATTTTTTCTTGTTAATAAAATTTGCACAACAAGAAAACTCCTATCGGTTTTATTTGATGTGATGTGAGTTTAAATCTATACCAAAATCAATATTTTCTGTTATGTAAAATTCAGAATGTGAATAAAACGGGATATTCAAATTGCATAAAAAAGATGAGTTCTATTTTGAAAGCAATGAAATAAATTTAATAAGGGACAGACCTATCAATACCTTGTTGGCAATGATAAATTCATGATATATTACACATGTTACAGTAAAAAAAAAAGAAATTCGACATTATATATGCAATAGTTCTTACAAATCTAAAAAGGGATTTAAATCGATCCCAATTCACTCGCTTTATTGCATGACGGCTGGTGTTTAGCGGTGTGTACATACACGCAAGCTAATGATTAGCATGCCAAAATATAAATTGTGAATTTATGTTTCATAATTGTAAATTGACGTGTTTAAATAAATAGGTAAGGTGCAAAATTTTCTAATGTGATAAACATCAATACACATGTCTTTTCGTCATAACATTGATGAAATACAATTGAATTATATATAATCCACCATTATGGTGCATGTTGTATATTGCTAAACAATGTAGTATACATATTTTGGAATAACTCAAGAAATGGCAGGTGTAACTTTCTGTAATATCATGCCATCGTAACAGTAACTATAATAAAAAAACTCGTCTGTTTCTCTTACAAGCCTCGTGTAAAAAATCAAATAATTTAACACTATTTCATGCTGTGTTATTGCTACCTTCATCATATATATATATATATATCATTTCAGCACAAGTATATCCGTGTAGGGGGAGGTTATCGCCATGGTTACTGGTACGTCAAATGTCTATTGGAGGAACTGGAATTACAGGTATAGACGTTACTTTTTATATTGATATCAATACATATCACATGTATTTAGAAGCGTGAAAAGAAAACATCTCACTTTCAAATGTTGTCTTAATGAAAATGAATATCAGAATAAAATATTTCTTGTTTCATAGATAAATACATGACACCCATATATGAACTATTACTATTAATCCAAGTTAAGTTGAAATATCGTGAAATATTGAAGTACGAACATTAAAATGCCATATTTGAGAGTGATATTAATTGGTATTCTGCCAATTTTAGCGTCAAAGGGAACTCATCATGAAGCAGAGGCTTGAATCTATCAGAGAAAAGCGTGAGTATCTTTTCTTACTGAAGTTAAATAATATAGTCTTCAATAGCATTCCTTAAAATATGATAATACAGATTTATAGTACACATTGTGTTTGATTCGAAATCAACACAAAACAAAAAAATATAACAAAAACTGGCATGAATAAACATTTATGCATAATTAGGTATTATGTAATATATCATATTTTGATGTGTTACAATTTTAATAAAGCAATTACATAATAATCTATTTTCATATCCAGAAATGAAGGCCATCAAGACGTATATACGTACGAAGAGCGGTCGAATTGTAGAAAAAATCATTTTCCTGTCTGAGGAGGATTATGAAGCGTTTAAAGAGGGAAAAAATGTGGAGGAATTATTAAAGAAATACCTGTCGAAAGACGAAGCCAAAGGCCTGCAGTCGTGGGACAAAGATGAAGTAAAAGCGATTAAGACAATGGTGAGAACAAAGAGTGGCAGACTCGTGGAGAAACTAGTATATGTGTCTAAGGAGGACTATGACGCCATCACGGCTGGCAAGGTAGATGCGAAAGAACTATTGAAGAAATATGCAAAGGATGGTGAGGTAATTGAAGGCTGGAAGGAAGCTGCCATGAAGACCATCAAAACCTACGTGAGGACAAAAAGTGGGAGAATTATAGAAAAGACTATAATGATTTCTCAGGAAGACTATGATGCGATGATCAAGGAAGGTAAAAACCCAGACGACATTCTGAAAAAGTATATAACACTGGAAGAAGGCCAACAGTTAGAGTCTTGGAAAAGCGCAGAACCAATGAAAGCAATTAAAACCAAAATTCGAACAAAAAGTGGAAGGATCATTGAAAAAACAATTTACGTATCTGCTGATGATTACGATAAAATGATGAAAGGCGGCGGAGATCCAAATGACATTTTGAAAAAATACATGGGCGAGGATGAAGGTACAATCGAAGGATGGACAAAGGCAGATCCTACACCAATGAAAGTAGTGAAGACATATGTGAGGACAAAGAGTGGTCGTCTTATAGAGAAAGTAGTCATGTTGACAGAGGATGAGTACAAACAGTTCGTGGAGGCTGGGGGAGATCCCGAGTTCCTTAAGAAATTTATTCAACTGGAAAAGGGAGAAGTGATTGACTCTTGGGAGAAGGCTTCAACTGTATACTCCGGAGGATCAGATCATGAAATGATACAGAAAGGTATTTTCATCAGTTCCTAAAGATAATGTTGTTTATTATGTATAGTTTTCTTCAACGTATTTTTCACCAATTTAATTTTCTATATCATACTAGAATGTCAGTAAATTTCACAATTAACAAGTGACGCAGGTTTTAAGGAGTGTATGAGTATAAACATTCTTGAAAATCAGCAACAGATCAAGATTTACATTGAAACAATGCATATATATATTTAATCAGCTATCTAGTTGCGTGAGAACCTTGTTATTGATAAATACAGTATTGTAATAGATGCTGTAGTTATCAATTAGAAATAAACATATAAATGGAATCAGAATATGATAACGTAATTTTATGCAAATGTATCCTCATTGAGGTATAGCATATAATGTATCATTTTGCATTTTTTCTCATGACCCTATCAAAAATGTCTGTGTGTATTGTTCGTTCGAGCTGAACGGAGATTAACGGAGATAGGAACGTTGACATTTAGATTGCCAAAAGACATTTGAATCTATGATTAGTCTGATTAATTAGTCCCAGACTACCTGTACATATGTTATTGTTAAGAAAACTTTGATCAGGTGTTCCCATCGAAAAATATGTCCAGTATGTCTTAACATAACACTATCAATAGAATATTAGCCGTAATCCGTCCAGGCTCCAAATATTAACAAGTAGACTTCTTAAAAGTGTCATTTAGTCTCGTTAGGCTTATACACTATTGAAATAAAACGCCACGGTTCAAATAGAATAAAAAGGAATTCCCAATCCCTGTTTCGTATTCTGGGTATTCAAGAACTTCCACCTCCACACGATGGCTTTGACTTCCCAAAATAAAGCAGGAAAAAATAATGAACTCTGTCGTCTTAGATAATAAATTTACGCGAAAATCCAAATGTAAAAGGATATCTTTATCAATACCAGTACAAATACGTTGTACCTTGAATAGGTCATTATTTAACCGTATAGGCAATGGCGTTATCAACATTGCGGTGATGTCAACCAGGATTTTTTTATATCAAGATCATATTCACGAGAAAAGTTCTACTGTATAAGAACCAAATAATAGTCACGTGGTAATCAGAATATTCAGAATTTTCTGTCTTTAAATACAGAAGAAACCCTTAACACACACCCCCCCCCCCCCCCCAACCCCCCCCCCCCCCCCCCCCAAAAAAAAAAAAAAAAAAAAATCAAATGTTTCATGAAATAAATGTTTTATGAAATCTATGTTTCAGCAAAAGTAGGCGAAAGGATTGTTGGAAAAGATGGCGCGGTTTATGAAATTGTAGTTGATCCTCTCACAGGGAAAAAGTACAAAAAGTAAGTAGATTGAACAGTTGATAAAGTCATACAAATCATTCTGAAAAAAAATCAACTGTTTGATTTAATTGGGAGAAAATTACAAACTCAAAATTTTTGTCAGTTTTTTTTTTTTTTTTAAATGCCAGGCATCTGAAGATATGATAATGTAACGCATTTTATTGGATAATTTTCCTTGATCAGTTCCTGATATGCTCATGAATTCTGACACTTGCCAAAAGATGGCGGCTATCTTTACGGTTTAGACAGATGATTGACATCGTCATTGGAGAATCGAAATGTGAAGTGGAGATCGGGATAATGATAATCCTTGTGACATATTCCAATTCACTTTTCTCCGCTTAAAATGATATCGGTTATGTCAGAATGTCGATAAAGACGATAACCGTCACGGCAGGTGATGTCCTCAATCCGTGGATCCACTTTAGTTCATAATATCACAAGTAAAAGAAATAATATCACACGGTATTACCTTCTACCTTTACCTTCATATTTGAGTCGCGAGTTTGTAGCTTACCTTGGGCAGCTGGTAGGTACTGGCTGGTTTTTCTCCTGGAAACATGGTTTTCTGACATGGAATAGAAATACATTTACTGCTGTTTCTTTAAATAGGAAAATTGAATCTGACGTAGACAGCGGGATAGCTTCAATGCAGAAAGGCAAGAAGGGCAGGAAAGGCAAAGGTGCTAAAGGAGATGGCTTTGATTCCGACGATGAGACACCAGAAGAAAGACGGAAAAGAAAAGCCGGAGGTCGTAATCCGGACAGTGATGGAAGTGCATACAGTTATAAAAGTGTTGTGAGTGCTGGTGGAACACGGCATGTTAGGCGCAGGCGTAAACGTGCGGACGGAACATACAGCGATAGTGCGTCATACCACAGCTCTCAAGATGAAGAGGGACAGGCCCGCAGACGGCGACGACGTCGTGAACGAAAACATGGACCTGACAGTGCTAACAGTTACTACAGTGTCGTAAGTGAAGGAGGTACGCGACATGTAAAGCGACGTCGGAGGCGAGGGGATGGTACATACAGTCGTAGTGTGTCTTATCATAGTTCTGACAGTGGAAAGGAAGGAGGTAGGTTAGCCGACAAGAAAAAGAAGAAGAGAAGGGAGCATGGGCCTGACAGCGACTACAGTTATGAGAGCGAAGTCAGTGCCGGTGGCACACGCACGCGCAAACGGAAGAAGAAAATCAGAGATGCAAAGGGCAATGTCATCGGTTATGGTTCATCTGAGAGTTATACAAGTGGTAAGATTTAACTTTGAATAGTTTTTATGCCTGATATATTGACAAAGCGTTTTTAATAGTAGAGCTGTTTTGCTAAGATGTATTGCTAGACCGCTTAGTTGCGGATTATACTATTTATCACATTTGTACTGTTGTATAACAACGAATTTGTATTTCACTTGATTAATTTAATTAACATCTATCTTTTTGTTGCATTTTCAGACGATGAAAGGTAAGAAATGATAAATAATTCAAATAAAAGAAGATTTAATACTGAAGTTTTAAACTCAAGCATTGGATATTTTACTATAATGAAGCTGTATTATTATCATATAAAAGTAAAATAAAATATCTATTTTGATACAATAAAAGAAATATTTTTTAAAAATAGTTCCATGGTTTAGATATGTAAAATTGATGTTTTCCTTCCGTAAAGTGTATACACAACAGTATCAGATGGCAAGGGAGGTAAAATAAGGGTAAAGAAGGAGAAACCAGGCAGGGGAGGGAAAGGAGGAAAAGGAGGAGGAAAAGGGGGAAAAGGCAAAAAGAAGCTTGACCCAGTTTTTAGCGACTGCACGACTGATGACGATGATGTAGATCTGGAAAATATGACAGAGGAGGAGAAGGTAGCCTACTTTAAAGCCAAAGCTGAAAGAGCAGCAGCCAGAGAAAAGAGGAGAAGGGAGAAATACGGGGACAAATACGACGAAATGGTTGCCAAACACCAAGAGTAAATTTGATATTTTCTCTTACTCACATGGATTATCAAAAGTGCTTTTAACTCACTGCCGACGCATCATATAGACGTGGTGGATGGACATGTGAAGGCTTTTAACACTCTGCGGATGCATGCTTCACTAACACTATTTACTTGGCTGAATTTCACATACTTTCAACTTTTATTCTTCATTACACAACAAAAACATAAATAATTACGCATACATCAAATTCACTGACTGACTCTTTTAATGTCTGCTTTGCAGTTACTCAGAGGCTTTAGTCAATAACAACTCACTTGCTTATCTTCGTAAGTCAGTTACACTGTAGGTCACTTCTGCAGTTGACGAAGTGCTTCACTCACTTAGACCTTTTAGTTGAACGAAAACTATTCTAAGGGTCGCTAATTACCTTAAAATATATAACAACCTCTGCTGCTTATGATTTTCATTTATATCAAAAAGTATTATAATGGTACTTATAAGGGATTGGATGCGACACTTACGCTTTCTAAAATTTCTTGGGTCGTTATGAAATTTATATAATTGTGGAACGAACTGAAATAATATCTTTTATTTCCATTATTGCGTTTTTTAATTTTTTGGTTTTTGTTTTTTGTTTTGTTTTGTTTCTTCATCCAAGTGATAAAGATTGATGCTTTTTAACCTGTGTTTTGATTATACATGAATATTCATATCAATTAACTGATGCTTTAAACATATATTTCAATTTCTTCTGCTGTTTATTTTGTTTATCATTTCAGTATCTTTTGAATGTGTCTTTCGATAAGGCATCAAAATATTTTTCTCCAATAATTTGGAATGACAGCCTTATATAGCTGATATCATTTCGAACTTAAAGAATGTCAACTAAAGCCAAAGATAAAAATTATGGTAAAGTAACAAATATGAAATATTTCCACCATAAATAGAAAATAGATAGGCATTCATCACTAATTAGTTGTTATTACGTATAACAGATATAAAAAAGCTAAGGCCAAGGAGAAAATGAAGGCTAAAAGACTTCAAGAACTGAGGGAGAAAGGCCTCATCAGTCCATCCTCTGATTGGACAATTGACTCCGACACAGGCGAGCCATTGAGGAAGGCGGAAAAGTAGGAACATTAAATGAAATGAAAACTAAAATACACATTCATTTTGGTTATAAGACCCCTTTTTTGCCGCTTATAATTTCAGTTAATTTTTGTCTTTTGTTGCTTTTCTCTATCAAATGAATGTAAAACTTTTCACACACATAAAACCCCAAAAACAAAAATGTCCACCCCCTAAAAAAAACAAAAACAAAAACAAAAAACAACGTTTTATGATATGTATCCAACTTGGTATTGTGTAGAGCGAAAGTGGAGCAGGAAAAGAAAAGGAAGAAACTCCAGGAGTTGAGAGAGAAGGGTCTGATTAGCCCGTCGTCTGATTGGACGATCGGATCTGACGGCGAACCTGCCCGTATTAGTGACCTCATCAAGTAAGAGGCGTTGATTAAGAACAACAATAACAAATATGGACGTCTGAATATGTGATATCCACTAATTAAATATATCCAGTCCTAAATTTCTGTTTTTTTTTTTAACTTTCTCAGATTTTCTTCCCTTTATATTTTCACTATTTTTGTGAGGTTATGATTTCAGTTTTGTCTTTTGTGAGCCAATGTTTTCAGATAATATCCTTCCCCTATTTCTATTCTAACATGGAATAACAAAAATAGTTGCATTCGAAATATTCTTGTATATTTTCAGGCAGGGTAAAAGAAAGGCAGAGGATTATAAAAAGGGGGGTAAAGGAAGACGAAAAGGAAAGGACGGCAATGATGCTGATGACGAAAGTGATAGTGGTAAGAAATGTAAACTAGTAGTTATTTCACAAATATAATCAATATCATTTACATGAATTATGTATCTGCTTTCTAATTTTCTTATGCATAATCTTATCCCCCAAACTAAACACATTTCCCGTTTGTATTAGCATAGTTTATATGGCATGTCTTAGACATTTCTTGCTTAACAATAATGTTTTTACATTTACGTTTTGTTTTATTGCATATTTTACTGACTTGAATTAATAAACATTCTAATTTTATCAAATGTTGTATTGCGTAAAAGACATGACGTAAGGTATTACCTAATGACATAAGAGTGTGTTGAAAATGAAAATGCTTCTATTACGCTTCGTCTGCCTTACCTAACTTTGTCGTTTGGATATTCACTTTTGTTTTATCTGCTTTGTAGTATAGAATTGCGTGCTGTGTTTAGTTGTGTCGCGCGTTGCTTCTGCTGATTATCGCTTTTTGTGAATATATATATGTTAGACATATATTTCGGCTGCTTTTTGTGGAAGTCCGCTTTTACCATGCTTCTGTACTGTGTTTTAACCGCTGCAGTTTTACAGTGTTTTGAAACCGACGACTGCATACGTTGAGGAAAGGTGATTTTTTTTTAAATGTATTTTTCCTTTTCCTTTTGTCTATTTCCTGTCTATTGATGATAATGTTATACCAAATTACAGTCACTTAACCTTCAGAAATGACGAAGTAGATCATTTATTTGATCGATAATGTGATGTCTTCAGTAATTGTTAATCACAAATAATAGAATAAAACAATCGTTAATCAACCCAAAATTCACAAGTTAACTTTGAGTTCGTAACATTGGTACTTAAGACATTCATGCAAGTGTTACTCTCTCATACGAAATTCTGACATACTAAAACAATGATTCTGGACAACAGTTAAGGCATACTCTGAGATGTTAAATATGTTTGTACAGGAGAGTCAGCCATAGATTCCATCACTGGTGAGAAAATAAGACGTAAGAAGAGAACAGGTTCTGAGGCAGAGTATGAATACGTAAGCACCTGATTGTTAATAGTTAAAAGTGGTATTACCTATTATCGATCTAATCTAAAATCAAATGTTCTTACTCCGCTGCAAAAATATATTCCATAAGTTCATTATCCAGCAACCTTAGTTGGATTATTTGCAGATAAACTACAGCGAATATAAAAAAAATATAACAGGTCTAAGTTATGCCTTGAAATTATAAATTACCTTTACATGCAAATATATATTAACTGGTTGTTTTTCAGGAATATGACGATCAAGGACGAGTAATCCGTAAGACTAGGAAAGGACACAAACCTGTAAGTAATATACCATATATACGTACTACAACTTCTGAAAACTAAAACATAGGATAATCATTGAAAATCGCTTTCAAACTTTAAATATATCAGTAAAAGAGCTACTTACAAGAAGTATCCGAATAAGGAATGAATATATATTTGGGGGAAGGGGGGATAAGTTCTTTTTTTGTAATGTGTGAAATTTTATACACTGGCAAACGACATGACTTTCTACTACTATCCAGTATACCAAGGTAGCTGTGGGTTAATCCGTCAAGTGGCCATGCGTTGGCTCAGAGAGATATTGTCGATACAAATACACTTGAGTTTTTTATGTTCACGTATCAATTTCAATTTGCCACTTATCTGAAGGACATGGTATTTCATAAATGCCGACGCTTATTAAGCTGAAGCAATACTTAAGTATTATAATGTTAAAGAATAAATATTGTGTTCTTATAAGTACAGTTTATATGTCAGAACGAATAACAAATTTAATTTAAAGGTATTAATTAACGAGTGATGTTAGCAAGTGTTGAAAAGCCCTGTGCTTAAAACAATACATGTTTTGATATATTAATACCAAATTGAATATTTCACGTTTCATGTTGAACTTTACAGGGAGATGAAGGATCTGATTATGAGTACGAGTACGGTACGTATATAAATAAAGAATTTTAGCCACGATAATATTCTTTGTAAAACTGAAAACCGGTACACCTTTCATCAAAGTAGCGATACAGAGGTCAAGCCCGTTCAAATATATCCCGATAGCTTGTTATAGGCAGCTGAAAGTATTCGTTCCTTTCAACTTAACTTAATGAAGTGACTTGGTATGTGGTACTTCGCACAACCACATCTTATATGTAAACAGTAGTGTACAAGGCAGACGTCTAGCATATGATCCTGTTTTTGTAAGTCATACCCATTGAAGTAACAGTGTTTACTCGAACTAAGCTCTAAAGTTCGTTTTATATAAACTTGCTTAAAACTGCTGAAAGTAAATAAGATAAGAGGAACCTCATTACAAGGGAAGATGATTCGCCGGTAGATAAAAATTATCATCTATCACAACAATTGCTATTTGAAATAACAATTATACAATTATAAATTTATTAAAGATAATTATACTAACAGCTTCTCGGTTTCGTAGTATAAATGTCTGTTTATATAATGCCCTATTCATACAGGTATGTAATACACGCGATGGCACGCGTATGTTGTTCTGTACTGTATCACCATTCGTACAGTAAACTACGGGGTATATAGAGGAATAAATTAATGAAACAATGTGAATCCAAATATGAAATTCAACAGTGTTATAAAAACATTTAAACTAAACAACGCGAAGAATTAGGACAATAGAATTCCCAAGTAATGTACAAATATCCGATCGTATACGAAAATGTAATATTAAATCATGTGTTCATGAAATTCTTAAAGTGCAAGAATTGATTAGTAGAAATTGCAAACGATGATCACATTTCTTTCTGAAATAAATCAGAGACAGGTTTAATTGTTTGTGGTAGTGTGTGTTTGCAAATGTTTGGCGAGCTGTTGTCACAACACTAGATCCCCATTACACTCTTAAATGCCAGGCAATAAGTTATCATCAAATATGTCTTCCTGAATTAGGTGTAGGTGTAGTCTGTCTGGTGAGATCGATCGAGAAAACTCGCCTTCTTTCTCTGTTGTGAATTACAGTTTCAATTTGATTCGGTCTTGGAATTTTTTACTCCAATTGCCACCGTAACTTGTTCTGGAAACTTATTTCTCTATTCATCTCCGATAACATATATTGAAGCATGACCGAAATGAGTTAATAATAAATCTGTTGTCCACGTCAAAAATGCTAATATTGGCATTAAGTTTCGTATTCTTGTTGTTTTTCAATTTTAGTGTTAAATAATGTCTTTGTCACTATATACAAATATTTTTATCAGACTCTGATGGCAATGTCAAGATGACGAAGAAGAAGGGCGTCGGGGTCAAAAAAGGCAAGTTTTAAGAAACAGCTGGTTTATAAGTAGCATCTTATTTTCAATAAGACGTGATATACTGAAGATGTTATAGCTTACGAACTTTTCGATGGATGCATATTGTGAATTTATATTAATTGAAATATAATGTTAGTTTCGGCACCGACCATACAAATGTATATAATATGTTTATAACTGTATATAATTTATCTTATTTTTTAAACTTTATATTTGAATTGATGGAATGAAAGCCATAGACAGTCCACGAATAATTGCTAATAAATAAAGATATAACAAAACATGTTGCATTAAATCACAATTATGTAATATCTGCCATTTGATCCTTAAATGATAGGTAAAAAGGGCGGTGAGGATGATTCTGACGAGGAACAATTCGAAGTAGGACCGGACGGAAAGATTCGCCTTAAGAAAGGAAAGAAGAAAATAGATATAGATAAGCTAACAGCAGACGACTTAAGGAAGCTGGGTATAGACCCTAATCTTTCCAAGGAGGAAATCGCCAAAAAACTCCAGGTAAATAGACGGGAAATCAAGGATGTTTATCGGAGAACAAAACATAACATATCAACGCTGGATTTGGTGATTTAATTTCAAGAGCCATTCTACCTCAATGGCAAATGTTTTATAAATAGCAATTGTCGCTTAGTACAGTTCATCATCTGCCTTCACTAAGCTCGTGATAAATTGTAGGCGTTCTAAGTGATTTATTTAGATGTAATGGTTTTTGAGAGAAATGATTAATATATTGTGTTGAGCATAGATCACCTTTCGGCTTCATTATGTTCTTTTTTAAAATATTTTCCAGGAAAAATTTGGGGATGATGTCAAGATATTCCAAGGAAAGAAAAAAATTCCAACAAAAAGGGCATCGGAATATGGATCAGATGCCAGGTCTTCTGATTTGGCTAAGGACAGTGATTTGGATGTTGATACGTGTAAGTTTGGTATATTTAAATCAAAACTTCGAGAAGATTACAAGTCTCTTAATAACGAAATATTCAGTTGTTCGAGGTCACATGAGAGGAAGCCTAATTTTTTCCTCCTTTTGTCCGTCGTCGTGTAGCATCCGTCCGTAAACAATAAATATTTTCATCATCTCAAAACTTTCTAAACTGTAATGAATTACAGAATTTTTCTATGGCCAAAAGTGCTAGTAATATGGTCCCCTTAACTCAGGGGCCTGCAAGAGCTCAAATTGTCTGAAATTTCAATAGTCATTTCATTGCCTTCATGGGAGATAAAAACGACCACTACAGTTTACGTGGGAAAATGTGTTAGGATAATAATTTAATTTCTGCTGGCAATGATTTATAACAAATACGAATTTGTGAAATTCGTGACTCCAGCGTGTCATCCGCTCCCCCGTTAGGGAAGAGGTAATGCTTACTAAAGTTTCAGATGTAATACTTCATTCTTGGCTAAAAGTATCGAACTTTAAATTTACACATGTACAACGTTATAGTTTTCTTACTTTGCAATTAAGTGGATTTTCTATGACATAGAACTTGGGTATCCGTCAAGGTCCACGGGCCTCTTGTTTTATGAGTTCTCAAGCTGATTCATGCACAAGATAGCGTTGTAATTCAGACAAATAGATGGATTAATTTATTCCCAAAAAAAATTCATTTTAGACTTGTTCTATTCATCTTAAGTATAGCACCCAGTAAATATTACCTTTGGTAATATAATCATATTTTTCACAAACTACAAATGGACTACAATTACTTAGCCAGACGTATTATACGGATATTTGTTTTTGGACAGTGGTTGGGACAAAGCGCGTCAATGTTAAGATGAAGAAAGGAGGTCAGGCTTTGATAGACCACATGAAGAGCATTCTCAACATGTCAGAACTAAAGGACGCCGAATCTGCCAAGGATTTAGACGAGCGAGGTAATTAAGTAAAGATATGTAAGCAAAACATTTCAAATAAAATGAATTATCGGTTCAACGAACATGGCGGTTATATTCGATGCAGCAGAGACGCTTTGCTTCTTTGAACACCTGGTTTTATTGTCGTTGTATCTATTTCAGAGTTGTTTTAGTATTTTTTATTCTTTGTTTCTATTTTGTCCATGTTTCATGAATTCTGAAAAAAGGTATAATGGTTTCATTTAGACGCCTGGTATGCTATAAGTTTTCTTCTAAGGGTAAAGATCTAGTACTTTTCCATGGAAAAAGCTTGATGTACAGTTTGTGTTCTGATTAACAGAAGTCGTTAGTAGGACTATGTAGATAAGAAATGTATTACGATGATGTGTTTGTTTTAAGTACATTGTATTCAATTTTGTTATCAACATAGGTGACATCGATTTCGTTTCCCACTACCGACTTGTTGACCCCAGCAAGATAGAGGGATATGCCCGGGCGTTTGTGGTTGAAGACGATGACATGGATCAGGTGCTGTCTTACAAAGTAAGTAACAGCTTTGCAAATGACGTCATGACATCTATTAACAAATGGTATTCGTTCGTTCGAAAAAATGCATTGAAGAAATAATTTTAGAGTTTGTGTTATGTGAAATACATATTGATCAACATACGCTTTCGATATTTGTGACCTTTACCAATGATCCGAAATGTGTATAATTAAAACAACAGCGAAATGGGGTATGTACATAGTAGAAATGAATAGAATAAGAATACAACTGTTTACACGGGAAGTTACACATATGCACTAGATATTGGTTTACCTATTTGAAAATTTAACAAAATTTCCTGTTTTCGATAGGAAACTCGAACTGCCCTCAACGGTATCCCCACTATACAAGCAATGACAACAAAACAACTGGAATACGTTTTAAAGGTAAGTTCAAACTACTTAGAAATCATATTACAACGGCTATTATCTTATATACCTGTATTTCATTTATCAGTAAGAATAATCATTAGTTGTCAGAGAACAGCAAAATGTTATTTTCACATTTATTTTTTCAAATTTCAGGTTCTTAATTTAGATGACGCAACTCAAATGACATTCCGGATGTTTGCTGTAGTATCAGCTTTATGTGAGAGGGTGACATCAATGGAGTAAGTGGATTATAATTGTATATAGATAATATTGATCAATCTTAACATCACTTATTTTATAATATCAGCTTTTCGAAGCATTTAGCGTGATGATAAATCATTTCTATGGAAACATGAGGATATTGATAAAACTTACTTTTTTCAAAAGTAGAGCCGTGTGGAAATTTTCACAATTAATGGGTTCATTTTCACTCTAATATTAATCAAATGATTTGTTGACATGAACTTTTTGGAAACTTAATAATTCTTTTATCTAATTTTACAGCTCCGTCAGTAAACACCTTCTCGAGATTTGTGACCTTTTAGATATTCAAAGGAAGATGGGTCTGTATAAAGCAATGTTCTACTGCAATGTGGAATCCGACCGCACGTCAAACTTTATAAAAGCCGATTCTTTACGTATAGAGCTGATAGCTGGAGGATTAAATTGGAAACAACAGGAACACGTCATGGCTAGACTACACCCTAATGTGTATAATGAGGTAAACTTATTTGTACAGTTTAAACTTGTGATGTTTCAGGGTTTTTTTTTTTTTTTTTTTTTTGCAAAAGTTTGCATTCTATATTAAGGTTAATTAAGAACGTTTACTTTTTGTGTGACAGCACCTGCTCATCCATTACATTTAAAAACATTTTGATGACGTTACTGAAATTATGAATGTCGAATCTATTTTTACTTTTCTGATGCATTATTTGTTCAACGATTTCGTCTCCATCTCAGATGCATTTTATTTATTATTCGGTGTCTATTTTAAGGATGTAAAAAAGACACACTCACTTTTCGATGCAAATTTAGAAAAAGTCAAGCAAAACATAATTTCTACTTATCGTGCAGAGCTGTTTCGTACTTCCAGGACTCGTCAGTAAAGCAATATTCTAGTGTTGATACGTAGTATGCTTTTTTCAACCTTGCCTCAAAATATTTCTAGTTATTTGAATAAGCAAACAATAAATTGTAATAGATTCCTCTCATATAGTTCAAAATCATCTAGGGCAAGACACTGCAATTTTATTTGTTGGTGATGTCTGTTCCATAATAGGTATCATCTATATTACCAAAATATCTTGAAAAATCAAAAACGTGTATTTATGTGAAATTTTCCACATCAGCGAATGTGTTATGTACTGTTCACGACAATTTTAATCTTTTCCTCCTCCTCCTTTTTAGATATCCTTTCTTGACTACCTCGTGTACGTACCTCTCTTCTTGTCGATGCACGATAACATTGTTGACAATCCATTGGATATGTCGGATCAAAAATACAACCAGAAACTACGCCAGCTCTCTGGTGGCACAAGACAACGAGACATGAATCCACTCGGAATGCCTCTCCGAAAAACATCAACATTCCAGCTTCGGAAGCAGGCACAGGATCTAATCGAGGGCAAGATTGACCCTAATAAGCTGAAAGGAGAGAAGGTTGAACTCCTCAACAAATATGCAACGTAAGGTCTTATCGATATTATTTTTGGTTTTTCGTCGATACAAAATCGACCTACCCAAAAGAAAAGGTTTATGTCTCCTGAATAATAGGCGTCAATATAAAAACACCAATCCTATATTTTATTCCTACAAAATCATATTATTGTGATTATTATAATTCAATATAATTAAGGGATAGTTTGCAATAACAGAAAGAGGAAAAACTCTTCTAGTTAGATCAAGCAATGTGTTTGAGAAATAACTAGCACCATATTTCCTTTTCTTGTAGGTTACCGAATATATTGGAGGAAAATGAATCAAAGCGAAAACTATCTGTTCCAACGAAGTCAACAACTCCACCGATGCAAATGGTGTATTGAGCATTGACTGCTTTGACACATAACATATAACTTCAGTATTTGTGTGGTCATAAGATTATTATTAGAATTAAACGACATATCAGATCGGTATTTTATACTTGGTAAATTTGGTACGAAAACTCGTGTCAAGTAGATTAGTGTTTGCTATCGTTTTATGAATTTATTTAATATTGTGCTTTTACAAATATTTCAGACGTAACAATCAGAAAGCCTATCATACATGATAAATTTTGAGAATTTCATAGAAATGTACTGTGTAAGACCGCCTAATTATCTTCGCAACTGCAACGAGGATGGACCCATCATGTCAATTCTTCATGTTTTTTTTTATATATATATTTATATATATACCTGTATGCATACCTTTATAGCTTTTAGGTGTCGTTATGTTAATGCGAACATTGTGATTGTAAATAAGACTGAATTTAATCTGAAAATATATATATTGTCATAAGCATGTATTGTTCGCGGGAGAGAAAATGTTATACGTGCGTTTTCCTTCTTGAAGCTTACCTAAACTCCAGGGTTGAAATCAACCGTTTCGTACAAATAGTCTTTACTTCATAGATTCATCTTAAGAATTGCATCAAACTCACACTTAAATCCTTTATACGGTTTCGACAAATGTTAAGTACAAAGACAATAGCTCTTGTTGTTATCACTTTGTTATTTGCAAATTGTTATTCTCTTTTCCGTCCAAAGATAAAGATAAGAGTTTGATTAAGTGCCATAACATGTATCAAGAACGATAACTATTCGGCATTGTTGAATGAATAATTAAAAATGTTTACGCCGCAAAATTATCAAAAAGGGTACATGTACCGGTCCTCGTTACATTATGAATTATATATATATATATATATGGTTTCCGGTTTTTTTTTATTAGTGTTAACATTGAATGCGATTCATTTGATTAACAAAATCAAACACATTCCTTAAACTTACGCCATGCAAATTTGACCAATCCTCTGAAAAATGAAACAATTAAATATTCATTATTATGAGAGAAAAAGACATTTTCTGACTCAGAGGTTAGGATTGTATGGCTGCTAAACACCTTAATGATAGTTTGCTTTTTGTGATGAAGATTGTACATAATTATTAAGTTATTCTCTGTTATTTTTTTCAGTTTTTGCTGAATGTCATGTGATACAAAACATTAAAAATAATTTAATATATTTTAACTGTTACAAACTAATCAAATGTTTTACTAGTTTTCTAGAAAGATAAATATATTGATAATTAATTTGAAAAAAAATATTATAAAATAATTGTTAAAATGGTTATTCTTGGATAACTGTTATATGCATTACATCCACCTTAATAAGGTAAGAAGGTTTTATCAACTGGCTTCTCGCTGACACCGTCTTTCGAGTTATGAAAAGTTCGTAAACATATTGAGTACTCTGAATATTTTTCCTGAACTGAGGAACACAATCGATCTTTTACACACAACATCAATATAACCTCCAGTACAACACAAACTGATGATGATGTTAGAAATATATATAACAAAATTATTTATACTGACCTTGTTAACAGAACTTTATTTGGCATTTTTACGATATATCGTTGTTAATTGATGAACATTTTACTTCAGAGCATCAAATCTAAAATGAAACGAGTGAAAATATAATTTCCTTGAAACAGAATACAAAAAAGTGTATTGAAAACCTTATTTAATCAGCATTCAAAATATTTATCATTTGTTTCTTCTGCAAACTACTAAACAATATTATAACGAGATCAGTTTCAATTTTAAATGTTTCTTTCCATACTGAAATATGGCTAGTGGGATCGAGATAAAAGTCTTACTCTTTCTTTTGTCCAAATTGCTTTTCAAGAATATTCCAACCAAAGTTTTTGTTATTAGCTTTAGTGGTTTGTGCTTTTTAAATGGGAAGTTACAAGAAAAGTACAAAAATAGTCAAGAATACGCAGGTAGTTTTATATAAGTTTTATTGTTTTGTTGATAGATATATGTGTGATACATGCTTTAAAGAAACTGTGATTAAGAAGTGCCAAGAAAACTATTTATTATGTAGTTTTAACAACTTTATTGTAACGAATTAATTTGTAAAATATGAATAAAAATGACCTTCAAACCATTCGATGCTTTTTTTCTGGAATGATTTTGCAAGTAAATCAACACTGTTTTATTGCACATTAACACAACACTTGTAAACACGAATTGGCACGTGTGTTTGCTCAATGCACTACAACTAACAAACACTTTCGTAATTATGATTTTGGTCTTTACTTTATTTGGAGACATGTAAGCACATTCATTCTTTTAACAGTTAATCACCAGTGAGATATCACCTTTTTGCCTCTAATTTACAACCATGTCGACTTAAGTTGTTTTAGAAATAAAACATACACCGCTTCACATACTGTTATAGAACAGAATTCGGTTAAACTAATAGTATGGTAACTTTGAAAAATATGCAATGTCATAATTCAGGTGAAATGAGATCAATACAAGGCGACATAAATTAGCTGTTGTTGGTCCTAGAGTCATAAAATCCCAGCGTGTTTTGTCTGTAACTAGATACACCCATCGATTTGCAATTTTTTGTCAAACTGCCGCATTGATAGCAAGACACACTCTATAATGCTCACATAAGCTAGCGACGGTGTTACATACCTTAGTAAATATTCTCATCGAAACAATCAGCACATGAACATGTACCGCGCTTTGAAACACGTCACATAATCAGTTTGTTGGTTTTTACTGTTTTATTTCAGTTCACTTTAAATTTGCACACAAAGAAGAAAATGTCGGTTTTTCGTTTTTTTCTTCTACGAATAGCGGGATCTAAATGACATAATATTGCATAGGTAGATGGGTCAAATGTTCATCGATGAAGCTGAAAAGCTGCATCAAGACAAACGGTCAGTTTTAAATCAAAGCTGAAAATATAATCAGCTGAGTTATCGCATCCTTCGTGTGATTAAGAATGTAAAGCGTCTTCAATCAATCAGACTAAACACGACCAAGGTACAATCAAGTTCAGTGGTCAAATACTGGGTTTAAAAAAATGATGTTATAAATGGTGTATATATTGAGGAGACGGTTTCGTACATGTACATCGCGTGAACGAGGTTCTGGAAATTCAGAAAATATACTACCGCATAAAAAACAGATTTGTAAAGAAAATCTTAATTTTAACTCAATGAAACGAGGGGGAAATATATATATATAAAGGAAAAAGAATATATACACCTTCGAAAAAGTTCAAGGAGAAAACAAAAGTGTTCCAGAAGCGTAAGCATTTTCTGCTTCATCAAAGACACCTGCCATGTAAATCTGGGTCAATCCAGGTACGTGAAGTTGCGTTTTAAATGGAACCATCTGGCAGTCTAACAAGCATCAAACAATTCAAACTCCCTATCGTACAAATTATAGAATATTTATCAGTAAGTTCATTATGACGACCTTAAAACACTTCGGTCTGGTAAATACATCTTTATATTAAAACACAAAACAGTCTGTCGGAATGTCTAATCACAAAACTGTACAAAAATATTCGCGCCAAGAAATTCCGATTTTGTTTACGATTTAGCCCATCGTATATTTCTTCTGTTACAAAACATTAAAAATGTTCATTGTAGTTTGAATGGGGAATGACAGTATACGAAGTGGAAAATAAGATATTCTAATAGAGAAAAATATTTACAGAAAAGGGTGCTCAAAATTGATTGCTTACTTCATTTTAAGACAAAATGATCAAAAGAATTTCTCAAAGTATAAAACGTCTGTATATTGATACCTGACTGAAATTTTGCATTGTAGAAACGTTGCCCGGAGGAAGACGTGTCTCCATGCAAAAAAGGTAAAGTAAATCAAGATACTTTGGGCACAGGCGTGGATTCAATCACACATTACATTATGAAAATGACATTATTACTAACATTACATATATTTCTGTGTCATTGATAAATAAATAAATTGTAGATGGCTTAAAAATTTAATTTATCAATACGACACCACTTTTACGATTTTTTTTTTCATTATAAAACTTTTTTTTACTATCTGCAAGATAATGTTTACATAATGCATATTCCGGCAAACTTTTTGTGGAGGTCTGTTACATACTTCTTGATATGTCGCACATTGTTCATACAAACTTTAAAAGACAAAATTCAAGGACTTTTCATGGACTTTTCGATGCCATATTTACCTTTTTCAAGGCTTTTTGTTAAGAAATATCAAGCACATTTTACAATGACAAACGCAAAAAATATAACAATATGTATACTGATTTCAGATATCTTAATAAAAGTTAGTTTTGTCAGAGGTGTCTAAGGGCCATCATTCATATGTGACACATGTATATTGAAACGTTGTTTATATCACTTAAGCAAAACTAACGTTTTTCGATTTGGTTCCACTGAAGCAATTGTCCATAGCATGAAATATGTATTTTTCTGATACTTTTTTTTATTTAGTTAGGTGCTTTAAATAAATTAATTTTGTTGCCGTTGCTCAAGTTTTACCCAAACGCCATTTCTGGAGTGAATAATAGCTTCCGATCGTGGAATGGTCTCGTTTTCTAGATCTGGCAAAATCTGAAACCGTTTGATAATCTTTGCAATCGCCACTTTGATTTCATTCATTGCAAAATTTTGGCCAATACAGTTTCTTGGACCCGCTGAAAACGGAACGAAACTGAAAGGGTCCCTCGTGGTCTCTTCGGAAAATCTGTCTCGCCTAAAATTTTCAGGATCCGTCCATACATCTTCGCGATGGTTGATTGTGTCAATGAGGATGTTCACTTCACTGTTAGCTGGTATTGTCAGTCCATCTACAATGTGTTCCCTGGTTGTAATCCTAGCTATCACACTCACTGGAGAGTGTACACGCATTGATTCCTTCAAAAACAGTGAGAGTCGTGACATCTCCTGAATGTCTGACCATTCTACTTGTGTCTTGTCGCCTATCACCTTCTGAACTTCCTCATACACCTTCTGCTGTTCGTCCGGATATTTGGAGCATAAATACATTGTCCAGCTGATTGCAGCCGCTGTAGTATCATGACCTCCAAAGAGGAAGGTGTCGACTTCGTTCCTTATCTCAAAGTCCGTCAGTCCTATCCCCTGTTCGTCTCTGGCGGTGAGTAATATATCCAGGAAGTCCAGTCGACGCTTGGTCATAAGGGAAGGGTCGGCCGCCATGGATTTTCTTCTTTGTTGGATGACCATTTCATCAAAATCATGGACATATTTTACATGCTGAAAATACTTCTTGCCATCCGCGGAGAGTCGATAAAATATTTCTGGGTACAGCCAAGGTTTTAACATCCGAACACCTGCTAGAAACAATATATTCCGGACAGCGGTTACGTAAGGATGACTCGAACCTTCCTCCTGTATTTGTTCATCAAACGAAAATGCACATCTTAGAACTGTATCCAGGGTAGCCATCCCCACAGGCTCACTGACTTCCACACCTTTGCCGTCAGATGACACCTTCTCCAGTTTGGTCATAAAAGTGTCGAATACTTTGTTGAAAGTAGGAACGTATGATTTTAGAATGTCATAATGGAAGGCCGGGGTTAGAAGACGTCGATTTCTCTCCCACTGCTTTCCCGAGTTCAACAACAGGCCTTGTCCTAACCATGGTACAAATGCGAAGTAACCGCCGCCAGTCTGCACCGGTTTTGGTTCGGTTGTTTTCAAAATGATCTTAGCTGTTTCCGGATGACACAGGGAAATCACAGGATATAAAAACATTATCCACATCCCGGAAACTTTCTTTCCAGTCTCTTTGACGCCTTTATCTACTAGTCGCAAGTAGTCTGAAAACTCTGGCATCAGGTGTAAATGTCCCCAGATAGGATGACGCTTGCCAATCGACAACATTGTGCTTGATGAAAATAAAGCACTATTTGTTCTATGTGTTTTGACCATAGTACCGCCCTTCCATATGAGGCATATGAGAAGTATAGTACCAAATATCAACATTGAGAAGTCCATGCTTTTGTTGGCTGAAATAACAAATACATTGCATTAAAGAACGTTAGCTACAACGTTCGTTACATTTAAAGTGATTGTCTCTTCGGGTTTTTTTGTTTTTTTTTTTTGTTTTTGTTTTTTTTTTATTTAGTTTTTCTTTTTATTATTTTTTATACATATTACAAACATATATTGACACATCCTTACACAAGCACTTTACTTATATAAACATATTCCTATTTATAATTGATAAAAAAAATTGCATTTAAAAGTAGTGATACTTTGTTCCACTCCCAATATTTTGTCTAGAATTTTATTTATTTTTTGTCTCATATGAAAAAAAGAGATATGTTGAGGTTTCACAGGACATTTATCCGATGGACAGTCACTGTTTTCAGCTGCTTTCATCTTGACTCATAGAGGATATGCTGTAATATTATTGGCTTTATACTTTCTTATATTTTTTTAAATGATAAAAATTCCTGACCATAGTGCCCATATCTTCTCAAACTTCTCAGTTTCATTTTTCCCTTTGGCTATCACCTTGTCAGTTTCGTACATATTATATAATTTTTTTTGAACTCCGTCAAACTTGGACTTCTTTTCTGTCTAGAGCTATAGTAGATAAAAAATTTAGCATGAATCATAATAATGTTGACTGGAATAGATTTTTGAAAGTCAAATAATTTAACAAATAAAATAGCATCTTTTTTTTAATTTCAAGAGATTGCTTAGTTTTTAAGTATATCCATCTGCATATGTCCTGCCAGAATTCTTTTGTTATTTGACAATCATAAAAAAGGTGTTCAATGGTTTTCTTTGGTTTCTTTACACAGGTTACATAAATCACATTGTCTAATTCCAATTATTTTTAGATAGTGATTCAGAGGAAGTATTCTAGAAATAAATAAAAAAAATAAACCTTTGAATACTGCTGTCTTTTGTAATTTTGAAAGGGAGAGCAAAACTTATTTTCCACTTAATATTTGAACAGGACTGGTTAATAGATATCCATTTGTTTATTGCTGTGTTAGTGATTTCTTATTTTTTTTTTTTTTAATAGATAAATTATGTGCTCTTATATCATTATCTCTCATAAGTGGTTTTGATTGATTCACAAATATTTTTCTAATGTAGTAAAGTTTCCAGTAGTTATATCATATATTTTTAAAGTCACCACAGCTGAAAAATCCAACATCCTCTTGAACCAAATCTCCAACAAAAACTACATTTTGTAATTACCAGTCATAAAAAATGATAGAATTCTCACCAATCTTAAAATTACTATTGTACCAAATTGGCGATTTTAAAAGATCATCAAAACTTTTAATATTTATCATTTCTGAGACTTTTATCCATGCTTCAAAAACATCTCTCCAGAACATTTTTTGTGTCTGAATATTTTTAATGTATACAATTCAAAATTAAGCTTTTTTGAGTTCATAAGTATCTTCCAACAAGTTTGACCATTCAATGTCTTTGGAAAGGAGTAATCTCCTAATCCAAGCAGTTTTCAGGCCATTTATAAAGTTCTGTAAATCAATCATTTTGAGCCCACCCTCACAATAATCTTGAATAATTGTTGAGCGTGTTATTCGATCAATTGGAGATTGCCAGATGAAATTAAAGAATTTTTTCTTCAGAGATTGTATGAACTCTTTACTTGGAGAAGGTAGAGATATAAACAAATGGTTCATTTTCGCAATGATAAGTGATTTAAGAACAGTTATCCTCCAATAGGTGTTAAAATTATTTTCAACCATTGTTGTACATTACTATCAATAACAGTAATTGTTTTATTGAAATTTAAATGAACCATGTCTTCCAAATTGACAGCAAAATCCATTCCAAGTCAAGTAAATCTGGTTGTTCCCCATTTCAGTTTCCATCAGCACTAAACTTTTTACTCCCTATCAAACATTTGTTTTTTCAGTATTTATTTTCAGCCCAGATATTTAAGCATACTTGTCTAACATGTTTATTGTCTCTATGAATGAAGATTTTGAGGCATTTAAAATAAAAGAGGTGTCATCAGCAAACTGTGATAGCCTGTGTTCTTTATCATTTACTCGTATTCCTTTGAATTTTTTATTATTTTTAACCATAATGGCTAGTATTTCAGCTACTAAAAGAAATAGGTAAGATGAAACTGGGTCCTCTTGTTTACAACCCCTTTTTATGTCAACAAAACTAGATAAAAAGCAATTCTGTATGATAGCAGAAGAAGTATTTGTATTAAAAACTTGAATTCATTTTCTTATGCTAATTCCAAACTTGAAAAAAATGAATACTTTATTTAGAAAGTTCCAGGACACGAAATCAAATGCTTTTTCAAAATTGATGAAAATAAGTTGTCCAGGAATATTATATTGTTCTGTATAGTTCATTATGTCATAAATTAACCTTGTATTTTTACCAATGTATCTTCCACTTAAAGATTCTGTTTGTGTTTTAGAAATTTTAGAATCAAGGACTGATTTTAATCTATTTGCTATACATGCAGCATCTAAATTTAAGTTATGTTAAGAAGGGTGATAGGTCTCACGTTTTTTTTACATATCGTCTTGGTTAATAACCTTTTGGAAGACATATAATGATGAACTGTTTTTGTGAAACAGATAGTTTGTTTTTTAATTCAGAAGTATACTCATCTTATTCTGGTGATTTATTATTTTTCATATTTTTTACAGCTAATTGTACTTCATTTTCTGTCAAATCTCCTTCCAATGTTATTTTTTCTATAATCACTAAGTATATTAAATTCATTATCTTTAAGAAATTCTCCCAAGTCTACATCTTCAATGTTTTGAGAGTGTTTTGAGTATAGATCTTTAAAAATAATTCAATTTCCTTCAATATTTTGTCCTGACTAGTGATAAGTTCCCCTTATTTTTTTCAAGTTTGTAAAAAGTTTTCTTTATATAGTTTTTTTTATTCAGGACTACAGAAATCTGTTTTGCTCTTGATCTTATCATGTTTCCTTTTAATTTTTTTTCTAATATTTTCTAACTCAATTTCTTTTTATTTTCAAGTTCTTGAATATGAATGTCTGTTAATGTAGTGTTACTGTTCTCAATGTCATCAATTTCTACTTTTAGTTTGCTTTCTTTTTTGCAAGTTTTTCTTTTTTAATTTGATGCATATTGTATAGGCAATCCTCTAATCTCTATAAGAAGAGTTTCTAGAAAGTGCTGGTCACTTATTGTCAAGTCTAGATCAATATCAGATATATTTGTTATGTTTTGGTTGTACCTCTGTGATGCGTATTGTAGTTTAGTGTCAGTAATTTTCTTTTTTATCTTGTTTACATATTGAGTGGTATATAAAAGACTATCATTGAATTTCTATAATCCACGACCTTTTTCAAAATTATTTATTTTTAGTTCTAGTTTTATTAGTGAGTGATCTGTTCTGTATCCTGCATGTATGTGTGTTTGTTCTCCTAAACTCATAAGATTATCTGATATAAGAAAAAAGTCAAGTCTTGCTTGTTTAAAAGGGTTTCTTTTTCTCCAACTATAACATTTATATTCTGGATAATTAATTTTAAAGCAATCGACAAGATTAAATTCTTCTATGAGGTCAGCAGCTTTATCTCTAGCTCAGGGATTGTTAATGCTTTTATAATTATGCGTGTCTAATTTCGGATCCAGAACAAGATTGAAATTGCCACATATACATTGGGTATTGTTAAATTCTCTTAAAGTGTTTCTTAAATTTTCATAAAAATCAGGACAATCCTTATTTGGGCCATATATATTTACAAGAGTAATTTAATTTTTTCAATAGTTATATCAAGAGCTAACATATTTGCCATACCATCGTCTGTTAATTGTTAATCATCATACTTACTCCACGGGCATTTGATTGAAAAGAGTTAAAAAACAATTAAGACCCCATCATGTTTCTATCACTTTTTCCTGATGACATGTAAAGTATGCATCTTGTAGACAAATGATGTTAAAGTTGTTGTAGTGTTTTTTTTAGACAATGCAATAAATCTTGCCTTTTATTTTTGGTACACAGGCCCTGGCAGTTTACTGACGCAATTCTTATCTTATTATCAACATGTCATGTTTTACATCATTGTACCTAAACCAAGAATACAGTTGCATATCCATACTTTCTACACGCAGTTACGGGTCCGAAGAGAATGAAATCATTGAGTAACATATAAGGGGGAAAAAAGGTAATGAATATAAACACATACAAAAAACAAATAACAAATTACATAAAGACGAAAGGGGGTGGTTGAAGAAAATTTTTTCATCTCACATTCTTCAACAAAGAAACAATATTCAGCATGTGCTACAATACTGTACCACTTTATGACCGCACAAATTAGCTTAAATAACACATTTTGCATTTTGTAACATACAATGGGTTGTAAGCATACACTTTCAGTGTATTAGTACAATAACAATCGCATTGTCACCTACTTAGGTGTTGACTTTACTTCCACCCTTTCTTGATCATACCATATAGACAGAATATCTGCCAAGACCAGTCGCACCCAAGGTTTTCTCTGGAGGAACCTGAAGATCAGTAGTGAGGAAACCAAGTCAGCAGCATATTGGACGTTAGTAAGACCTATAACCGAGTACGCTTCATGTGTCTGGAATCCTAATGTCCAAAAACAACAGGATAAGCTTGAGAAAGTCCAGCGCCGATTAGCTAGGTAACAAACAGGCACAGGAACACCAATAGCATGTCGGATATGCTAGATAACCTACAAGGGGAGACCCTTGCAACTAGACGACACAAGGCACTGCTGATAATGATGTTTATGATCATCAATGGGCTTGTAGATATCCATCCTGACTCATACATGCAAGCACACAATAACAAACGCACTAAGACCCAGCACAACAAACAGTACAGAAAAATATACACTAGGACTGACACACTCAAATACAGCTTCTTCTTCCCAAGAACGATTTCTGTATGGAATGCTCTTCCAGCCAGTGTAGCAGAGGCAGATAGCCTAGAGGCCTTCAAAAAGGGACTTGCTGCACTGCCTACATGTATGTAATTTCAAGCTGTAAACGCACCACACAAACACACATACTTCCTCACACACACACAAGCAGATTTTACATAAACAAACATTCAGTTATTACAAACCCTAGCACCTCTGTGTAACACCAAGTAATTGTCAAGAATGACAGATTGGTGGAACGATTAGATGTAGATGTAGTGAATGCGATCGATTTTCAGCTATGCAAGTTCTCGATTAAAAATTTTATTGTAATAGAGTTTGAGTAAATCATTGAACCAGGCAAACTAATTAACATTACTTGTCACTCATGACAGGCCGTAGACACGCATAACTACAAAGACTAATTATGAGGAAAGAAGTAATTATATTCTGGGAACTAAGTTACTTACATTGTTTTGAAATTCAAAAGTTTTTCGTCGTTCCGGAAGTGAACTTGTGTTATGTAAAAAGCAAGGCATAATGACAGCTTTTCCGGATTAGACAATGTTGTATAAAAAACAAGGCGTATTGACTGTTAACTTTTTCCGGATTAAAAGTATTGAATAAAATTGATTATTTCTGCGTAGTTTTTCATTTAGAAACAAATCGTCATTAATCATGAATAAATACTTATTAATTATATTGGTCGATCATGTAATTTTTTCCTATATATATTGTGTGGGATTGCAACAGAGGTGCACTAAACATTAGTATATTATGATAAGATATAAATACTTCATATGGAAAGATTCAGTAGCTGCATCTCGAGCAGTTCAGCTTGATCTATTCTAATGGTTGATGATGTTATGTTGGTAGTGTGGCCCGTTGCTCTATATGTGTGAGAGTGAGGATGTGTGTGGGAAAGGTGGGGCAGGGGATGTGTTACTACATATAGAAATATGTAGAGATATACTGTTAATTGCTTTCATTTTTATGTGGTAAGAGTTTATTTGCTGAAGGTTTGGCTCAAACCAAGACCACAAGAAAAGTATGTATTATCAGAACATACACTGACATGCTAAATGTTATATGATATATTCTATATGTAGTAACAGATAGCTGAAGTTGTAGGTGTTTGTAGACATTAATATAAAGGCAATTACGATGTAATTGTTTTTTGTTTCTTTTTTTTCTCTCTCTATATATAATCTCAAGTATCTGTACAGTAAGATTGTCTGTTATTGTGCTCACACTTTTTCAAAGAAAGGACGGAGTTCGTGCTTTATATATATATATATGTAGAAAAAACTTGATTTGACGAGATGCGAGTAATATATATATAATATAGGGCTAAATGTAAAGTCGATTATATGGCAGATTGTGGGCAGGTCAACTTTGATTAGCAAAATTTATGTATATTGGACAAAATTATAAAGGTGCAGTATAGCAGAAACATGTCGTTTATGGAAAAAACAAATCATCTTCCACTGATCCGAGGGAGCCATCTTACACCGAAAGTACACAAGGTAAACTAATGTACAGCCAAAATGGCGACAGGAAAAAATCCGGCAAGGATAATCAATCGAGTCAACGAAATTAAAAAAAAAAAAACGAGCCTAAGTGATCAGCAGCTTACGACTGTGACCATATATCACATGACGTACTTGTAGGTCCCTAGTTTTATCTCTCTGTGTGGTATAACTGAAACATATCTTTACGTAAAATACAAATCATCTTCGACTGATCCGATGGAGACATCTTACACCGGAAGTAAACAAAACGATAATTTTGTACAACTACGAATTGCTTTTCTTGTATGTTATTCGATCGTTGACGACCAGTAGAACCACACTACATTTCATTGCAGATATTCAGACTCAATGCGTATGTTCATTTCCAACAACACAATAAAACGCATGTATATATAACAACTTAATAAATTCCACAGATGTGTCATAATTATCTGAACAAATGATTGGTTTTCTCTTTTGATTTGGACATATATATTGGCAAATGGGTTTTTTAGACAACGAGGAAGCGGCGTTGACAAGGTTTTACAGCTTATCACCGTCACAGGTTCTGGACGTTTTGTGATATTTTGGACAAGTCTGTCACAATGCTAAACATACCTCAGCATCATGTAGAAATATTAAACTTCCATTTGATCATGATCGAAGTTTTAAATGTTGTATGTCTCAGTCTGACAACACTAACGCAGCACGATGCATTTTATATCCAATGTGCAGTTCCTTTCTCGTAGTAATTTACAGTTCTTCAAAATACCCTAAGTTTCCCTTTGGACATTTATGTCGCACATTAAAATTAAGGCCACTAGGTCAGATGGTTTTGTGCAAGTCACAATTCTGAATTGATGTAATATTTTGGTTTATTACTTGATCAAAAGCGAGTGATGGTGCCGTTGTTGTCACAAATGTATGGTTCACTTACCTAAAGGAAAATTTACTTGTGTAGAAAAAGTTTCTCTCAAACCTTAATGTTTTGATACGCAATTCGTTTCAAAAGACCAATATTTATGCATAAAAATCGTTTACAGCTGTATATGAACTGTCCTTCTTATCATCACAAAAATACCTTTATAGAAATCTGTTCATGCCACGATAGACAATTAACATTGTTGGATAATGTCTGCTTCACAGCGAATCTTGAGTGCTAAGTATTCTTGTCAAAGTAGTTACATTCTAGTCACCCAGAGGATAATCATCGGTCTTCTCTCAGACTTATGTTAAGTCATGTCATGCTTTTGAAAGATTGAAATGGTGATCAATATTAGCTGAAAACCTTTTTTTATCTCTTTTTAAATAATATCTTAAATCAACTACCGGATAAAACCTACTGTTTCCGGTCCTACACACAAATCACAGCAACTACCCAGGGATCGGTAGGGAACTATTAAGTGACTCATAATCACAAGGAAAACATCTTGGACATTTACAGTATTCTAACTGCAGCGCTTTATGATTGATAATGACAATGAAGCAGTTACTTTTTGTATAATTTATAGAGGGTTTTAGTCTATTGAGCAAGTCTTGGAATAAACACAATGGTTCCATCTTTTACCTATTACTTTGAAACTTTAATGGATTTAAGAGATGCCTAAATGTTTTGATATTATACAGACCAATCGGAGCAAATACCATGTAAATCTCAATGACAATATTCCTGATTTAAAGACATTTGATATATATTCATAAAGGATACGAATATTATTGAACGTAACTATGAAGTGTCTTGTATTGTAGTAAGTTAGGAGCAGCGGGACGAAGAGGAAGCAAAAATCTAGCCAAGGGAGGAAAAGTTACTGGGAAGGACAGAAAGCATGCTCTTAAGGCAGGTAAACGAGACAATGATAGCGATAGTGACTACAGCTATAGGAGTGTAGTGAGCGCCGGTGGTACACGGCATGTCAGGCGCAGGCGCAAACGCGCCGACGGCACATACAGTGACAGTGATTCGTTCCATAGCAGTCAAGATGAAGAGGGCGAGGCACGTCGGAGGAGGAGACGAAGAGACCGTGAGCACGGAGCAAACAGTGCACATAGCTACTACAGCGTGGTGAGCGAAGGAGGGACACGTCATGTTCGCAGGAGGAAACGACACGAGGATGGAACATACAGTGCAAGTGAGTCATACCATAGTTCCGAAAGAGAGGACCCAGATGATGAGGACGGTAACGGCGATGAAGAACGAGAAGAAACTAGTCGTTTGTCTAAAGACAGTGGTAACGATAGTGATTCTGATGACTCTTCTACCGATTATAGTTACGCAAGTGAAACAAGCGAAGGTGGTACAAGGTATCAAACCAAACGGAAACGGATACGGGATGAAGAAGGCAATATTGTTGGCTATGGGGAGACTAAACCCGCAGGGAAAGCTATCAGTGATACAGAATCGGTCAAAACTCGAAGAGGTCAGTAAACTGTTAATAATTTCAGTGATCGTTCTTGTTTTGTAGATAAGCTCCTGTTATAAGATACGTTCTACGTTCTTTCTTTCATAGAGTGTAATGTCTATTTTATGTAAAAATAGTTGTCGTCGCGATAAGTATTGAAATATGTGGCGAGATGATTAGTATTGAATACACAATTGAATGTCACCATACTGTTGAATAATGTTAAGGGACAAGGAAATCAACAAAATCAGTTAACAGGGTTTGTTTTCTTCAGACAAAACTATCTGCTTTATTGTATAACTGATTTTCATGACATGAAAAATCTTTTTAATGGAGTATATCAACGTTGTCATTACAGGTTCTGTTGACGAAAGGTAAATATATTCTTAATCTCTTGATATATTTTCATCGCATTATCATGACAAAAAAAATGAATTGCTATGTGTAAAATTACTAACGGTAACGTGTAAATTGAAAGTTGTTCGATTCCAAGACGTAAACACATGTAAGATAGGGTCACGTGCTCAACTGCGTTATTGTACGCAAGGTGCTCCGGTGTCCTCCCAATTAAACACGTCTCACTTACTTCCATACAAACTCACAAATGTGATTCATATGGCGAATGTAACTTATTTTTATATATATTTTCTATGAAATGAATAAAGAATATAGTTTATGATAAAAAAGGGAAAATCATTTAACTTCTGCCTTGAAAAAGCCAACAAAATGATCTATTTTGTTAACTGAATGTTTGCTTTGCTGCAGGACTGATAAATCCCTACAAGATAATCCTGTGGGCCACAACAAGGCCCATTCAGACATGGGGGTGCCTGACTCCAACAATGATATTACTGGAGAGGAAAAGTGGCCTGGTACATTACTTAATTATTGTTTTTTTATTAAATCGCTTGTTTACCTGTATCAACTGATTATTTATAAAGCTTATGCTTCATCAATGCATGAAACTTTTCAAAGAAGTGATTCTGCACATAGATATTACAATTGTTAAAATGTATATATCTAACTGTTATTGAAAACAAAAGACATATTTGTAGTTTATTTTATCACCTTAAAGCAATATAGTTGGGTAAATTGTTAAATTTAATTGAAGTCTTATATCATTGCATATGTTAAAGCAAGCGTAGAGAGGAGGTGCTAAAAATATAATGGTGCAGGTTTTTTTATTATGTGGTAAATGCGGTATACATTGATGAATGTTTATTATAGGTTTTATGTTTGCTTTCGTTGCAAATAGGCCAAATTATACCAGTGGATAGTTGTGTCCTGCAGATATGGATAGTGAAAGAATTAGGGTTTTATTTCAAAATAAAACCAACATTTCCTTGCCAAGATCATAAAAATAAATATAATTTATCAATAATAACAAAAATCAATACCAAGTCTCCGCTAACCTGACTTTTCAATCAATGGACATTAGTAATTACTGAATACATTCGCTAGGCTGTATTATTACCCATTTCCTGTTGGATAAGTCGTTAACATCACGTTTTCCCTGTCAACAAATTGACCTTGAGACTCGCATGGATAGTCAGACGTCGCCTACTAAGATATACTGACATCTTTTGTTGTTATATTACCATTGTTACTCAAAACAGGTTTAGTCCATCAGTTTTGTCATATGTGTTATAGGACTAGAAGCGGACGAAAAAGTACCATCAGATTTCAGTGACGCTACAACGGATGATGACGTCGACTTATCCAAAATGACAGAAGAAGAAAAGAAAGAGTATTTTGCGGAAAAGGAAAGAAAGAAACAAGCAAGAGAGAAAAGACGTCGGGAGAAATATGGAAGTCGTTATGATGAAATTATGAAGAAGAAAGAACAGTAAGATATAAAGTTTTTTTTTTCATTCCCAGCTTTGCTTACTCACCCTTTAACTATGAAACCTGGAATGTTAATTTATTCTGTTTTAAAAATACATATTGACCAAACTGAATCAGATAAGCCATAACGGAATTATTAGGAATCATCATACTTAACAAATTACATCTTTTTCCTGACTTATGAAAGTATGCTGAAGAGTGTATACGACATATGCCCAGGCCTTTAACATTTATATATATTGAAGATATTTGATTACTCGACTAGAATTATGTATTATTGTAATAAAAAGAATTTAACAATTTGTGATTGTGACGACTTCTAATTTTTGATATATCATATATATGTATCGTTTATCTAGGAAACGTTTAGAACAACTAATAAAAGAGCAAAAAGAAAAGGACGAACAAGAACGATTGGACAAAGAACAAGCTGAAAAAGAACGTCGTAAATCGTCATTGAGACGTTCATCTCTGGTTTCTGGGAAACCGAGAGAACCCCCAAAAAGTATGGTGACGTATGAAAAGGGAACACCAAGAGAATATGGACCTAAAAAGTCAGCTGATAAACGGGATCACGGTCTAGGACACGAATCGTAGGTTCACTGCATGTCAATTACATTTGAAAGTCAAAGTTCTCAAATTATGTTTTCGACAACAACACATATAAAAGAAATAATTAAATAAATTGAACAACGCTAATGTCATGTTGTTTGAAGCTAACAGGATGTATAATTGCTTGTCAATGTCATATTTGCAAATGCCTTTTATGCTTTACACATATATAATGACAATGTAAGGATAGTGATGACTGAATAATACATAATTGTTCGCCTCTACTTGTCATGATTTTTACAGTATTACATTAACATTCACGGGAAATGAATAAAGTCACAGTAGGCCTGAATACAGCATTACAGTAGCCATTTTCATGAAAAGTGTTACATAAAAAGCGCAAGTTGAGTTACATAACTAAATCCAATTCCACGTCTATTTTTATTGTATATGTGTATGTATATATTTCAGATGGGGAAAGAAAGACAAAGAGGGTCGGAGCAGACGCGGTAAGAAAGATAGATTTCCACTTAAGCAGTTTTTACCTAAATGTGAAGTAACCTCAGACCTTAATTTTACATCAAAACTCCATAACAGAATTTTCGTTTTGATATTTATACTTTACTGACGCTTATATATCATCCTGTGCCCTGTAATAAAGGGTTATCTATTGTCAACGTTAATCAGATTTTGTAGGAAACAAAAATAAGTATACATACTTGTTTTCCGTTTTCTGCATCAAAGATTCCCATTGTAAATCAATGTTAATCCGTTTTTTTTCTACAGGAAGTGATAGCAGCATGAACGAGGGTATAATGCCAAAGTTTAAGAGAGAGACAACGATGCTTCAGAAACTCCCTCCCATTCCACAGGGCAAGCTTTACGCTGGAGGTAACATTGTGTGACTATACAGATTTATTGAAATCAAATACTATTTTTATACTAATCAAAATTTGTTTTCCTCGTAGGTGATAAATTATATAGAGAATAAGAATAAAACGAAAATTCGTTCACACTAAAGTTTTAGTTTAATAATGATGATGGTTTTCTCATATTGAATGAGTGTAATTTGATATTTAAATATTAGTCAACATATCGTCACCTAAAGCTTATTTCCGTTTGAATCTAGATGATGGTACTGGACAGAAAAGTAAGAATGTTAAGGTAAGTAATATTATGTTTAGTCTCTTCCTATTGAAGCTAAGCTGGTATATGCATGCATACCTTTACCTTAAACGAGTGGAACATTGGGACGAACAATTAAAAGATTAAATCGTTTGCCACAAATCAACAATAGAGAATACAGACCTGTTTGCTAAACTTTAACTTAACTCAGAATATGTCAAACAAAGGCAATATGTGATTAATCCCCGGATGCTCTCTTGGTGTTCCAAAAGGAGAAGCGTAGTTATCAATAAAGCTTGGAGATGGACTTTTCCTGATATATCTGAATATTATTGTTTTTCCTTATATGTTTTGGTTCTTGAATGATTTTTCAGGAGTCTCCGTGTCAGTCATTATTTTGTTCATATTTTGCTTCAGTATGATGGAATTTGAGTTTGGATGATTATGTTGACCTGTTGTATGCTAATATCTAGAAATGGAAAATTCACAATAGGGAAAGAATTAATTCAACAATTTGATCAAACTTCCTTGTAGATTTATATTTAATTATCAATAACTTACGAAAAATACGTCAAGTACATGTGTATATTGTGAACCGTCCCATTACTTGAATATCTTAGAAATTATTGGGAATAGACCCTTGATTTTGTAATCAACCTCGAAATTTAAACACCAAACTATGAGGAAGCAGGGGCATTGGTAAAGAAATTCACAATAGCGAAAACTATGTCATGTTCCTAATTAATTGTACATTCGACATAAAAAATTTCAGACAATTGGGAAATATAATCTTTTTCAAACATTGATTAGTCTTTAGTAAATCCACTTATACTCATACCTAATGCACTATATACATTTGTATAATATACATATGTCTAGTAACGGGTTATATGTTATCATTGTAGCCGTCTATGGTGGATAAGGAATCAACAATGGGTAAGTATGGAATTATGTTTAAATTTCAATTTTTCATTTAAGAATTATATATATACACACACACACACACACACACACACACACACACACACACACACACACACACACACACACACACACACACACACACACACACACATATATATATATATATATAATTGTCCTTTTTAAACAATTTCAGATACAGATGAAGCCCAGTTTGAAATCGTTCGAGATGAAGACTCTGGAGATGACAATAAGGGTAAATTCTTGTTCTTGTGAATTATTCTACAGTGTTCAGAAATATTTTCATGCTCTTATTCGTTATGTGTTGTTATTTGATATCAGCACTTAACATTCAACTTGCACGTTAAGTAGTCTCTTTTAGTAATGTTGTCCATTTTTTTCATCAAGAAGTTGCCAAATATTATTTATCTTGATGTTTGGGAACAGAGTCCAAATCACAACCACCACCACCACCACCGGAACCCGTTGTAGAGGTTGGAGCTGATGGAAAACTGCGGTTAAAGAAAAAGAAGATCGATCTCAGTGAACTAGATGATGACACTCTCAGGAGACTTGGAATCGATCCATCTCTATCGGCTATCGAGATAGCTAAAAAGCTTAAGGTAGGGAATTGAATGTGTACGTCACCGGGTAAATTGAAGTCATAATGCCAAGGTTATATTTTGAAGCAGTTAAAATATTTTGTTATATACTCAAAAAATGTTATTTAGACGTTATGCCAGAAATACACAAAAATACACTAATGACATTTATCTGTTCAGTTGGGTAGTTTTCAGGTTTGTTTTATTTTATTAAATGCTTTATTACCATAAATCTCGTGTAATCATATGTACCTAACAGGAGATGTTTGGAGATGATGTGAAGCTGACTATTGGAGGGGAGGTAATCGGTACCAAGGGGGTAGATGAATACGACTCGGATATGAATGATGATCAACTGGCTGAACAGGAAGATTTGGACCTTACAACGCGTAAATGATTTATTATCTTAACAAATACTCTATATCAAACTTATAATTAAACAGCTATCTATTGTTATGTAAAACGGCACCAGAAATTTATAATATTGATAATATGCATAGTTTCAAAATTACGACATTATCATTTTGTCTGTATTTCACATTATATATGGTTCAGTGATTACTTAATTCATTTGAAACAATAATAAGTCAATATTGTAATCGTACTAATCACTTATCGGATAATTAACAAATTAAGTACGAGGAATTTCATATATGGTTTATTTTACCGTTTTTAGTTAAAGGAAAGAGACGGGTGAATGTACTCTTCAAACGAGGTGGATCAGCACTGAAGCGACACCTACAAAGAATAATAGACGACTGTACACTTCTGGAACGCGCCAAGCGAAACTTGGACGAAAGAGGTGTGGTATTGTCAATGATGAAAAATCATACAACCTGTCACTGGTAGTAGGATATGTGTATAGTTATTGTGCGGAATAACGGTGAAGATGAACGAACGTTAGAGAATAGTTCTCTAGTATTTTCGCCTCTTCAAGAAATTAATGAAGATATCGACATGGTATACTAGTGTATAAGTTAATATTCGTAAGGAATCCGATGTCTCGAAAAACAAATCCTCTGGTAAAAAACTCAAGAAATTTAGAATCCTTACTACCAAATAAAGTAAAAATACCAATATGTCAACATAATCAAAACTTTCACCTCAAATTCATTAAGAAAAAAGGGCAAAATAATAACAAAAGAAATATTTACTCTGCGTATAAGGATAATAAGATGTTCCGAAAGAGTAAGCGTCTCTGCATTATACACCATCACGTATATGATAATGACTACCATAAGAGTATTTGGTTATTTTACAACTAGATTCATCTATAGACTTCCTTGCGCATTATCGGTTAGTTGATCCTACAAAGATCGATGGGTACGCAAAAGCATTTGTGATAGAAGACGATGATTTCGACACTGTTATAAATCTTAACGTAAGTAAAAATGTAAATACAACATTAGTTTATAATCATAAAGCGGTTTTCTCGAGATTTTGTTTTTATATTGAAAAAGTTAAAATCTGATGCAACAAATTGAAGTCGACCCATGTTTACTATTACGATTGTTTTACTATGTAGTGAAAGGGTCTCGTTTAATTAATATATATATATATATATATAAGGCTCAACATCATACAGCACCCGTTGTTAACTAAGGAAAATAAAACACAATAACAGTTTGCTAGTATCATAAACTTGTATAAAAGTAATCACATAACGGTAATAGATATCAAAATTGAAAACAAGAAGAATACAGCAAGTATCTCAAATATTGTAGGCGTTACAAATTGCCTTGGAGGGCATTGAGACATTGAGTAAGATGACTCCAAAACAACGTGAATACGTCATTAGGGTAAGTGTGGTTGGTGGTAATATAATACCTTTCTTTTGCTTTAAGATCATGAATTTATAAAAGTTTTTAGACTTTGAAAAAGAAGACAGTGTCAAATGCTCAGTGTTAAAATTTAAACAAGATAATGTATTTTTCCTCTTGGTACTAACTATTATAACACCACTGTCATAAAGCAGGTATTCATCCACAGTAGATATGTATTCATCTTAGCTAAAATGACATAATTATCACATTATAAACAATTAGATACTTTAATAAATATTTATCATTAATAAACGCATGCATCTGGTTCATTTTAGGTCCTTCATATTGATGAGGCAACGGAAGTGACGTTCCGGATGTTCTCTGTGATAACAGCATTGTGTGAGCGCGTGACAAACATGGAGTAAGTTATTAGTACAATTGTAAGATAGCGATGTATATACGTTGATTCATGGTCTTGAAATCTAAAAACATAAGTGATTTTGGAATGAATAAGGTAGAGTATCTCGCATATGAAGTTATATAATAACTCCTAAAGAATAGTAGATATTTAAGTCATCAAAGATTTATGAAGTCTGACGATCCGAATTAAAATTGTTTTATATATCTTCATATTGTCTGCGTTTTCTGACATTGCTGAACATTTCTTATGTATGGTGCGTTTATACAATTTAATGACATTCACATTACAGCTCCCTAAGTCAACACTTACTTGAGATATGTAGTATGGCGGATATTGAACGTAAGATGGACCTTTACAAAGCCATGTTTTACCATAATATCCCATCTTACCGAAACAACAACTTCATTACGTCTGAATCCTTGAAAATCGAGATGATTGCAGGAGGACTCAACTGGAACCAACAGGATTTTGTCATGGAAAAAATGGAACCAAACAAATATGGAGAGGTGATGAAAACATTGTGTTATTATTGAGCGTGCATCTGAGATGTTAAATATCTGAAATAGTATTTAAGTATGTTTTGGTGCCATCATGTGGTAGCGTTTGAATACTGGTGTTTGAAATATTGAGTCAAGATTCAAACCATTAACTAATAACTAAACATTTGGATATAGAGAGTTTTGTGGTATGTAAATCTGATATGTATAAACTTACTTACCGTTAATACATACATGCAGCCAATATTTCAAATTAACCTATGGTGGGAAATACCAATTAACATGTTATCCGAACAAATGATGTACTTAGTTACTTCGAATAAATAAATGGTTTAGCAAATATATTGAAAGATTGCAATTTTCCATTAAAATATTTTACCGTTGAGCGACCAAATGATATAAACGAATGAGACCCTTCTTACCGACCATTAGCAATGTACATCGGCTGTTATACAGTACGTCGGGCCACCAACAGATATATTTGTACCAGTATTTTGTATGATTATAAACTGTATTATGTATAAGTCTAGTTATTGAAGTCATTCTTGCTTCCCTGTTTGTCGACAGATATCGTTCCTGGATTATATGTGTTATATACCGCTGTTCCTCTCCCTTCATGACAACATTTGTGACAATCCTTTGGATATGTCGAACAAGAAGTACCAGATGCCACCTCGAAAGCGCCCTCCTTCGGTTCAAAGAGATATGAATCCTCTCGGAAACCCTCTTAAAAAGACATCGACCCATAGGATGAAGGCCAGGTCTTTAGAGGTATTCGAAGGGAAAATACCGCAGGAAGACTATTCGAGAGATTATTTGGATATGCTGAGTAAATACGCAAGGTAAATCAAAGATGGCTGTCATACATATATACTTACTCCGGTACTTTCAATTGTTGATAAAATTATTGTGGAATAAAATTAGCCATTTTACATTCATTTAAGTCATGTGCATAATTTTATTTCATACATTTCGTTATACATGTTTTACAATATATCTGTATGTTGTTTAATTCAGTTGATTACATTTTCAGCGTTCCCTTAAACATATAAACATGAACTTACTTATTCATAACAAAATACTTTCCAATAATACTTCAATATAATGACAATATGATGAAAGAAAGATAATTTCGTTCTCACTTTCTAGGTTGCCGAACATATTCACCAACACCAATAAACGAAGCGGATCGGCATCCAGTAATAGCGAATCTGGATCCTCAACGTACAACATGATCTATTGAAGCCCATCCAAAGGTTATGGTGAGGTTTCGTGCAGTTTACAAATAATAGGATGATGTAATGATTGGGTAGCTCCAATCTATTAATATATCTAAACAAATTGTTACACCGAATTTGTGTGCCAAATGCCTGATGTATCACAATTGATTTTCATGCAGGCGTTATTTACAACTCTCAAATTTACATCTACTTAATATTCTCTAAATTTTGAAGGGTTGCTTTATCAAATTTAATCTTCAAGGAAAAGGCATTTGAAGCGTTACTTTTGTTAAACGTCTTCTACATGTAATATATTGGACATAAATTGTTGTGGTTGTGACAGTATAGTAACCCAGCTAGTTTGTAAATATGTAAGTGATATTTCTTTTAATTGAAATTGACCTTTCAGAATGTTGTAAATTGTAAATTTGCGCTCTTGCAAGCACGATGAATGTTTCTGCAAATCATTTATTGCTATCATTTTTATTATTATTTTCAAATATAGATATACATTTTTGTGTACGTTTATGTTTAATTTGAAACGTGTATATTTGTTTATTTTGAATATGGAATCGATTGCTTTTTTTGCATTTTGGTGTTCAGTCTACAATAGTTTACGCGTGTCACTTTCGTGAATTTGTTGTCTGATGTAAAGCCACATATCTGGTTATTGTGTTGCACTAGTTTACTGAAATACGGTGCTGGAATGATGGAATATCAACAATGCTACCTATTGATACTTTTGAGAAAATTGATATATTTATTAAATTACTTCAAAAGGATTAAAGACCATTTTTTTCTTTTCTTTTAATGATGTCATTTAGACATGTTTATAGAAAATCAAAAATTGCCTTAATGCTACATGTAGTTATGGAAGGGCTTTTCAGTTCAGGAAAAAATGTGATATATAATTGTACTTTTTAATGGTACGCACTGACGTCTAGTTTAGACTCCAAAATTAGAAACAACATTGTATAAGTAATGTACAGAACTAGTTACACCTTGAATTATCTTATGTTCTCTAGTGGTATATTTTTTATGATATGCTATCATGATTCTATTCATTAGTAGGGATTACTTGATTAAATTTGGTTATATATACCAAAGGGTCATTCAAATTGACGTCTAAATCAAAGTTGCCATTCGGAAATCAGGTAGATTAAATGCCCGGATGTACACATTTTCCGGTATAGATATCCAATTATGGCCACCGTTCCTGCTGTAAACATAACCGAGCCCATTGTTATTGATGCCGTACAAGTATCCTGACGTCATATCCTGTCCAAGAATGGTGGCAACTGTGTTTGGAAGTGCTGAAACAGAAATACTGTTTGGCTGTACACAAAAACATTTCTCGATGAATGTTTGTTTGGCATATATGTTAATACAGATTGATTTTCAAATAAAATTTGTAATTACAAAGTCAAACAATGGTCAAATTAAAAACAATAAGTTATACATATCTCCGAAATGAGGTCGAAATGGGTGTAAAATAGCTATATAAATGAGTTCAACAAGGCAAGCGGATGCCAATCACTTCCCTGGCTATCTCCTATAGAAAACTAAAGGTAATTGGTGAATTATGTAGAATGTTCATTCGAATTCCTTTTAAAACAATTCTACTAAGAACCAAATTTGAAGCAAAATAGATAATTTTGAGACATAGCAAATGTTTTTATACATGAAATATCTGGAAGATAATGTTTGGGCACTTACGTCTTATTTCTTGAAAATTTTCACTGGCGAACATGCATGGTACAAATGGTCTCCAGTCACTTGAAATAGAATACCACAAAGGTGTAAACACTGACGATAAGACATTTTGTTATGGTCAAGCGTTGTCTAATTAAGCAATACAAACAATACATATTGCTTATTAATTTATACTCTGAATTGTTTTATCCCTAAATCATTTGCATTGCACGTGTCATATTGGTATATTCAAATAAATTTAAAAGTACAAGGAAGCAATATAATGCTATCAATTAGATGCAAATGTCATCATAGCTGGTTCTTAGATACAATACTGATAATTGGTTGAGGACGTACTGTGGATTCGCACTGTTGTTGCAAGCCCAGAAACCACCGCCGTTCGCTTCAGGCAAGATTGCGTACATTAGATATTCTACAAAAACAAGTGTTTAAGGTAGTATTGGCAGTAAATTTCAATAAAACATCAGAGGCTTTTATTTGGCAATGACATTAATGATAATGGTAACATGAAGTAAGTATTGAAAAATATGGTTGTCTCGTGCGTCAAACATAAGTAAGAACGCCTGATTTTTTTTAACTTTCATCTTAAGAACACACTGAAAAAACAAAGGTGAAACTGTAAATGCTTGTTACATAAAGTTTTAAGTTTTACCTGGTAGAATATTCCGACACATCCACATTTGTTGACAACTGACACATTTGTCGCCGTACCTTGACGCACATGGACAGTTTCCTAGTGTACAGCAGGAACAATTTGTCCTTTTTGGTTCGCCTGGACAAGGGCATTTGTGAGGTACTGGGACATTTTGATCGTCTTTTATGAGTCGGGTGGGTATGTAAACAATAGAAAAACAACCATCTCACAATGCATTATTAATAACTAAGAAGCACAGAGCACAAAGGATGATAAAAGAGTACCGAGGGGCGGAACAACATACGCCTCACCTATACCAAAGAAGTTAATAAAAATATACAAATATGAAAATGTTAATACTTAGTCAAAATGTCAAGATAGATTAAATCATACCTAGTTCTAAAGAGACGAGTAGATAAACGAAAGACATCTCAAGACAACATTAATGAAAGGGGCATACCCTTGAGATCACAAGAAAAAACGCAAAATAAGGCAAACCCCTCGCCTCTTGTATCGTTATATCAAATTTGAAAGAAATTGAAAAGAGAAATGAAAAACATTTTGCGTTTTCTACACAATGCCAATATATGCCTAATTAAAGATGGATAAATCTGCTAAAATAATCACAAATTTATGTATCACGAATTTGTTTGCGCTTTGATGGCATGTGGTATTTAAAGCAAGTTACATTGAAATCAGTAAATGAATAAAGCTAAGAGAGGAAAAGGTAGCGGACGGACGGACATCGCAGGGTACCATAATACCACCCGTCGTCGACTGCTAAATAAACTTAGTTCTGAACTGAAATTCATTGGTTAGTCTGTACTTATCTGAGAAACGTTCAGATCCTAGCTAATAATGGTAATGAACATCAGTTCTGGACAATATAATAAAGCACTATAGAATGTTATTGTGGAAATGACCAAGGGGTAAATAATTCCTTTCAGTGTTCAGTGAGAATTGTTCGACGGCAGAAGTTATATGATTTATTTTATTGGATTTTTCGAAAATTTGATGCGATTTAAAGAAAGAATATACACATAATTGTACCATAGTATCTAAGGAATGAAAAAGATAGCGCTATCTCTCGTTATTTCTATACAGTATTGGCCTTTTCAGAGATCACAGAACTGTATTTCAAAGCCAATGTACATGTACGAAGTTGAAATTTGGCTGAGAGATGCGGTTCGTCTATTTACAGCATCGCTTGACATAATGACTACGGATGTTGTTTCTTGTTCATATTGCTCCACGCAAACTAAATACGGTTGTAGAGAACATTTGTTTTGCTGTTTTGTTTGTGGACCAGAGCAAAATAACATAACATAGCGTTCCCCAATGTTACCATTTTTTAAGACTCTCGCGTGGCGCATACATACATCCATCCATCCATACATACATACATACATAATTTGTAGAAGATGTCTAAGGTAAAATTGTGGTAAAGTGTCATATCTATCCTCGAATTACTGTGTACTCGAATGCTAAATATTAATATGTCGAAAATGAAACGTAAATATTTGATCGGACTAACGTTCTGCACACGACTGAATAAGAATGTATACTCTGATCTCATGCAATATAACAATCCAACCACCTTCCTCAACTAGTAACACTGTCCTCCATTTGGTATAGACTCTTCCACCTCATGAATGATAAACAGATGAGCCCTCACGGCGCCAAGACACTGATGATCGTCAGTGTGGCAACACCTAATGAAAGGAAAAGTAGGCGAGATAAATAAAATATGAAAATATACCTAGTAGGTTCGGTATTGATAATTCGAAGTATTTTGTTGATGTGCTGTAGTCTTTCCTCCGCCTCCAACTCTTGTAAACCACGTCGTACAGAAGAATCAGTTTTCTGTCCTCTGTGAAGGTAGCATTGACGGTGTCTAGTGTCAGGTTTATCATTAGCTTGGTTGAGACAGGAAAGGAAATTCTCTTGAGCTGTAAAAGTAAAAGCGAGTAACTTATTGTGGTCATTTTTATGTCTTAATGTATAAGAACCTCTGTTAATAACTGAATATTTGTTTTAAAACTTTAAGAAAAATGCGGAAAGAAATACAGACATGCCATTCTAATACATTTTGTAAATATGTCCAAAATATCAAGCTATTTCAGATGTTAACAAATATAAGATTAAAATGACAAACTGAACAAAAGCATATGGAGTGACTTGGGCGTGGCTGTTATATAGAATGACATGGGCGTGGCTGTTATATGGAGTGACTTGGGCGTGGCTGTTATATGGAGTGACCTGGGCATGGCTGTTATATGGAGTGACCTGGATGTGGCTGTTATATGGAGTGACTTGGGCGTGGCTGTTATATAGAATGACATGGGCGTGGCTGTTATATGGAGTGACTTGGGCGTGGCTGTTATATGGAGTGACCTGGGCGTGGCTGTTATATGGAGTGACTTGGGCGTGGCTGTTATATGGAGTGACCTGGGCGTGGCTGTTATATGGAGTGACCTGGATGTGGCTGTTATATGGAGTGACTTGGGCGTGGCTGTTATATATAATGACATGGGCGTGGCTGTTATATGGAATGACTTGGGCGTGGCTGTTATATAGAATGACTTGGGCGTGGCTGTTACATGGAGTGACTTGTGCGTGACTGTTATATGGAGTGACCTGGATGTGACTGTTATATGGAGTGACCTGGACGAGGCTGTTATATGGAGTGACTTGTGCGTGTCTGTTATATGGAGTGACCTGGACGTGACTGTTATATGGAGTGACCTGGACGAGGCTGTTATATGGAGTGACCTGGATGTGACTGTTATATGGAGTGACCTGGACGAGGCTGTTATATGGAGTGACCTGGATGTGACTGTTATATGGAGTGACCTGGACGAGGCTGTTATATGGAGTGACCTGGACGTGGCTGTTATATGGAGTGACCTGGACGAGGCTGTTATATGGAGTGACCTGGACGAGGCTGTTATATGTAGTGACCTGGACGAGGCTGTTATATGGAGTGACCTGGACGAGGCTGTTATATGGATTGACCTGGACGTTGCTGTTAAATGGAGTGATCTGGATGTGACTGTTATATGGAGTGACCTGGACGTGGCTGTTATATGGAGTGACCTGGATGTGGCTGTCATATGGAGTGACCTGGTCGTGGCTGGTATATAAAATGACTTGGGTGTGGCTGTTATATAAAATGACTTGGGTGTGACTGTTATATGGAGTGACGTGGATGTGCTGTTATATGGAGTGACCTGGATGTGGCTGTCATATGTAGTGACCTGGTGGTGGCTGGTATATAAAATGACTTGGGTGTGGCTGTTATATAAAATGACTTGAGTGTGACTGTTATATGGAGTGACCTGGATGTGACTGTTATATGGAGTGACCTTGACGAGGCTGTTATATGGAGTGACCTGGATGAGGCTGTTATATGGAGTGACCTTGACGAGGCTGTTATATGGAGTGACCTGGATGTGACTGTTATATGGAGTGACCTGGACGAGGCTGTTATATGGAGTGACCTTGACGAGGCTGTTATATGGAGTGACCTGGATGTGACTGTTATATGGAGTGACCTGGATGTGACTGTTATATGGAGTGATCTGGACGAGGCTGTTATATGGAGTGACCTGGATGTGACTGTTATATGGAGTGACCTGGATGTGACTGTTATATGGAGTGACCTGGATTTGACTGTTATATGGAGTGACCTGGACATGGCTGTTGACTCACCTTATCTTGGGTGTAACATTTACAACAGACTGCCGATCAGTAGAACTTACATCAAATTTCAACTTGCCATCATCACCAGTTACACTGTAAGGTTTGATGCCATCGTACACTTTTCTTATACTTTTCTCCAAAGTCATGACGTGACTAGGGAAATACACGAAGGCACTGACTTCATATGCGGAAGCTGAAGATGAGTCGTTGTGTACCATTGTCAACCTCATGCGGTAGTGTACCCTATTTAATGACATGAACTGTTTGGTTTATGCAAAGTTTCGTTTGATTACTGGACAAATTGCAAGATTTTAACGTATACGAATTTTTCAGTCAAGAATTGTGTGATTGTAAGGTTACAAAATGTGTATCTTACTTTTTGTTTTCTACGTAACGTTGAGACTCAGACAAGTTGATATCCAGATTTGGTATGAGTTCAGCAGCAGTAGTATTTCCTTCGCTAATAGTCACATAGGATCGCCCCATCCAAATAGCGTCATCGTTCAGTTTCACTCCTACACAGATCTCCAACACACTACCGTCTTTAAAACCTGAAACCAATTTGAGATATTATGTTCACCTCTTTTCAAAATAGGTATACTGTTAAAATGCAAATTGTGCTTACATTAAAATATTGTCAACATATAAGCACCTCATTAGATTTGTTTTCTGATTCAACAATAAAAGAGTCCGACACAAGTCTCTTTGAGACAGGACCTGGTTAAAATCAGAACTTAAAAGGGTGCGTTAGCTTAAACTATACTGTAAAGTCAATGTGACAGGTTGCTACTTTTATAGCATAACTTGTAATACAGTTGTGGGATAGCATAACGTACCAAAAATAGCGTGTGCACATCGTGCAGACATCGTGCGCACACCGCACATTGTGTAACGTTGTACGATCCCATAACTGTACATGCGGCCAAGCAAGACGTCGTGGTGTATCGAACGATACTCCAAATCACGTCATTGCTTACATACCAATGAAGTCTAGAAGTTGAGCATCAGCATGAACGACTATTGTGGTGTTGGTGGGAGTGTCGACCTCTGGAAGCATAAGCGTCGCCATGTCTGCCTCTGATGACTGAGTACGGGACTGAGTGGTGTGAATGGTGCCAAGTAGGTCGTGCTTAAAAGTTATGCCAGTCACATCTTGCACTCTTACTTTCTTCACGGTCATCATCGCTTCGTTATCTGAAGTAATCACATTAGTATTACCGAAATTACTTGAGTGAGGTATGTAAAACATGAGAAACTCTCATTGTTTATGATAAAATTATCAGTGATTAAAATCAAAATTGTTTGTTATTAAAGTCATCAGTGTTTTGAACAATTTTACGACAT